GTCTGTAGACTTCGCGTTCTTTCGATGGCAAGTACTAGTGTGGCTTTGCCTCTGTGTAAATCGCTTGAAACACTGACGTTTTTCTCAAGATTATGTATGAAGATTAAGCAACGCAGAACAGTAACCTCATTCGCTGAGTTATTCCATTCTGCATGGTTAGAACATAAAATTCAATAAATGAATGACGCAGCTTTTTAGAGTGACTTAGGCAAGCTATGAGCAAAAAAAGGAAACAATAAAAATGCTTGTTTACTATAACAATATCGTACCGGTGTCACACGGTTGGTGATCGCGGTTAAGCCCGATCGCGATCAAATTTCTCAACAGTAATTAGTTCCGAACCAAGCCCGATCGTGATAAAAGTTAGCGTGTAATAGCGCTATTACATGTATCTCATTTTACACATTTGTTACAAGTAATTTCGAAAAAGCGACGACTGCTACCGACGGAGTATTGCACGCAAATTCTCGGTGCTAGCTTGCCTGGCACCATGTGCAACAAAACGACATGCGACAGTTCTCAGCTCAAAGAAAGCTCTTTGCCAATTATGAAAGTCATTATCAGCAGATTGCAATTGCAGTCAAAGATCCGAAACAACTTGCCTTGACGCCGTGGTAAATGTCCACAACAGTTTCATCCCGCCGCGGCGTCGGATACCTGAACCTCATGGCTACGAAGTGGTTACTGGTAAATCTCAAAGAACGACAGCAGCCGGACTTTGGTTGCACCAGCGTCTGCACTACAAATCGAATGAACAATGAACCGACTCCTGCTATCGCTCGGGCCGGCGCCAGTCTAATAATCAGCGTTGCCAGGTGTTTATGTTGTTACCTGCTGCACCATATGGACTGTAATGTGGAATATGCCACTACTCTGAGAGTCTGAGATGGGTGGCAAGCCCAAAGAGCGCAAAGGCAAGTCTATTTTGAGCAAGGTGGGTGGGCGGCGTTCAGTTTAAACGGAACGTTTCGCCACCAGTAGCTTCCGGTTTTCCGCGCTCCTATATAACAAGTGTGGGACTAAGTCACTCAACTACTTATTATGCAGCAGTCTCAGAGGCTTTGCAATGCTGCTGAAAGGTGCATTGAAATCTGCTCCTTTGAAGCCTATCTTCGTTGTCTTATCTGATGCTGATGACCTCAGATAGATGGCGCTCACCCACAAAGGGGGATGGGCCAAGAACCGGGCGGCAAGATACCTTAATGAAATTAAAATGAAATTAAAGCCAATCTAGAGAAATTAGATTAGGGATAATACTGCCAATAAACAAAAATGTTTGCTGAGCAAGCAATCAAACGATCTCTTGTTCCTGATAGACATCGCTACGAATTATAAACTAAAGATCTGAAAAGGTTAGGGTTCAGCTAGCACGGTAATCTTTTAGTTGCATTGATGTAATCAAACACAGTGGAGCATAGATCCCTGTGGCATTAACCAAATGAAGTGCCGCCAAGTGGTAAAAGTACTGGTACATTTACTTGTATTCCTAGCTTTTGTAATGGGGCTACTAAAAATCTTTTTCTCTGATAAGAGTAATAATGACATAATAAAAAGAAATGTTTGATTCTTTCAATTTCGTTACAAAAAATGCACAGCGGTGACGCGTTAAGTCGAGCTTTGTTAAGGTAATAATTTAGTTGTGGAACTGCACAGCGCAATCTGGTATAAGTGATCCTCTAACTGGCGAGATACACACCACTGTTTATTCCAGCAATACCTTGAATGCTTGAAATCTTTAAATTTATCCAAATTACCTATTCCCCATTGCAATCAAGCATTTCGGAACCTTAGCGCTGTCACGTAAGCCGTATCTGGCATAACTGGGATGGTGGGCACACTCAGGGATACTGCTGCTAAAGAGTCCGCCATTTCGTTCAAATATAATCCGCGGTGGCCTTGTATCCATAACAAATGCAGTTTTTTACGTTTTTCGGTACTAAATGCCGAAACGTATTCATCAGCTCTGCCTTTCCTGCCGCAGAAAGTGCATTACAAACTGATAACGAATCTGTAATGATAACTGCTAATGATTCGCTTAAGGGCAATTTGCGTAGGCAAGAACAATAGCCAATAATTCTGCAATGAATGCAGGGGTATAATCTGGGAGTCGAATCGACAAGGACCAGTCCCAAGAAGGAGGGAAGATGCCAGCCCGAGCCTTTTCTTTTGACACAGATGCATCAGTCGCAGTGATATTGCTTATCTCTAGGTGATCTACGAACAAGTTGTCGGGCGTCCTTTCTTTCCGCCGCGTGCACGGTAATTCCACGTGCGTTATCAGACTAATGTTACTGATATTATTTACAGAAAGTAAAAATAACACAGTGACGTAGGACAGGGGCGTAGCAATATATTTTAGGGGCGAAGCTCCTTATCTAGAGTTAATATACAGACTCTGTATATTAACTCTATGCTCCTTAGGGCGCGAGTCTGACCTTCCCCCTGTTGTTGTCGTACGTAGCCACCGGTGGCACATAACCCGCTAGCACATACCCGCTCTCTAGAGCGGGTATGTGCCACAGTGTATGCGAGATGGGACACGGCAGTACTCGAGTGTTTACTAGATGGACGCACGGGCTGGACGCGCGGAGCTGGTATGTGCCACAGGGGATGCGACACGGAAGGAAGGAAATGTAGTAGGAGATGGCGGTACTAGTAGTTTTCACTAGATGGACGCACGGACTGACGCATATGGATTGACGCACGGATGGACGGAAGCAAGAACGGACGGACGGACGCTTCGCCCCACTCATCATTCACTCCTTGAATATGCTGTGATTTTTTTTTTTTTTTTGCGGGGGGTATTCGTGCATGTTTTTGTATGTAAACGCAAAATTCAATATTTTCAAGTAGCTAAGAGCTTCCGCATTGCCCGGGTCGTAAGGGGCGTCGCGCGCTCCCTATCTTGCAAGCATATATAGTTTCACACAATAATTGTATTAAACTCTATGCTTCGCAAGGTAATATGCGGCGCTTCCATTGCTTCCATGCGTTGAGCAAACCGTGGAGGACCCGCAGCTTAGCGTGGCTCTCTCCTCAGCCATTCCCGATTTTCGCGCCCCCTCAGAGTACGGCGCCGCGTCAAAAAGGGACGCACTGCAACGGCTACGGGTGGTCAGGCCTGTATCGATGTGTTCGCTCGCTTCTTTTAGATGCGGAGCATCTTATACTCGCGCCTTGTAGTGCGCCGTCCGCGTCGTCCGCGCCGTCCACACCGCTTCTCGAACATTCGACAGCTGACGCGCGCGCATGCGCCGTCGCCCACTCTTCCACCATCTGTGCATCCCTTCCTCCTCTACACACCGCGCGCGCTTCACTCCTCCACCATCTGTGCACCCTTCCTCCTCTACACACCGCGTTCGACATCTACAATTCTCCTGATTCTCCAGTGGACGCGCATGTGGCGTCGCGCTTCGAGAACATTCAACAGCTGACAGTGCATGCGCCGTCGTGCTGTATATATACTCAAGGTCGGCGCTCGCTCGCTCAGTTGCCGCTCGTCGGTTGGTTTGTACGGCGCGTCGACGTCCAAGGTCGCGGTGAAATGAATTCCAACGAATCCACAAACACAATGATCGACGTCCCTTCGACCAGCGCCGCCCTTTCGCATACGTGTGTACGTGTTCACTCATTTAACACCCGCTCCTACAACCACGTTAACCAATTCAGCCATCGACCCAAGTAAGTCGCAATTTAACACCCCATTTCACAACCACGTTAACCAATTTAGCCATCGACCCAAGTAAGTCGCACTTTAACACCCCGTTAACCAATTATATGGTCCGCATCCTCCTCAGTGTTCCCCCGAGGGAAGCTGCGGGCAATTTTTTTCCTCTATTAACCACTCCAGCATTATGAAAGTCAATGTTAGCCCTCGGCAACTGACATGTATTCGCGTTCACCTGTGAATGCCGTGACCATGCTCAATAATTAGTGGATGGGTGCTAACTGCAGTAAGCATAACTGGCAAAACTAAAAACCGATACGGTAGGCATAATACATGTATTGCTTTCTTCATTAATGCTTTTGCCTGTTGTGAGAAATAGTGACTTTCTAAAACTAACTGTGCAACAATTGAAAGTTCTCGTGCTTATCTACCAGTCCACCTATTTATGTATACGAGTACAATTTATATGCACAAAACACATATGGCACTTAAGTATTCCATGCCAAAAAACGTTGTCCACTGACCTCAAAGAGGGCCATCTTTTCGGTTAGGAAAACTTCAGAGGAAGCCAAGAACTAAGTCAAGTAATACTTTAACCAGATAAAAGGATAAATATATAAATAAAATATAAATAATATATAAAGTAATATAATATATAATAATAAATAATATATAAATAAAATAAAAGGATAAAGGATAAAAGATAAATAGCAGGTTACCATATGCATGAGGACTTAATCCGGGTACTCTACACATACAAGCAAGATGCTTTTTCTCTAGGTTTAAAGACTTAATTTTGTCAAAAGGGGCACAGTTGATGCTCATTCAGGCCCTACAGCATGCGAAAGACACAGAAGCAAACTGCTTCGTTTATGGTACTGTTGCCAGAAATGATTTTACTTTTGTTTGAAACAGTGGAATTTTGTTTAAAATCATCGTCTCCCACCAAGGGAAACTTAAGAGGAAAATGAATCCAAATTACCCGATATTGTTAATTATTACTTCTGCAATACTGATACGATTAGTATTAGGCAAAGAGGAAGCGCCGGTGGATCCACTTTAGCAACTTGCTCTTGCTGCTGTCAGAAATATTGTCACTTCCTGCTCAAAGATTTCTCATTGCTTTAAGTCTTTGCATTTGCCCTAAGCATCCGCCTCGTTTGCTGTAGCATAGCGTTGACATCATCTCTGCCTTTCCTGTCTCTTCCTTCCTTTCTTAACACAAAAGATAGCTTGGCAAGGTATACCAAGCACAAAGAAACATGGATACCACTGCTAAACTGAGGTTCCCAACACCAGTTTGCATGACAAAATGAACTTTGACAACACCTGCTCAAGTCTTGACTGTTTATTGCACTCAAAAAGGAGTAGCGCTTCACGTATGAGAGAAACCAGAAAGTGAAGTCTGCCAGCCTTAACATCTGTTCCAGGAAAGAAAAAGATATTTATTCACAGAAAGACAAGAACGTCTGCAATGAGCCACAGGTTCCTGTTATGGTGTGCCGGTGTATACTGAGAGAGGAGGACAAGGAACAAAAGCAGAGGACGAATGATAATGAGGAGGGCGAGAAATAATCGTGTATTCTTATATACAAACCTTGTATGAAAGTTGTACATCTAGTCCAGGGGACTGCAAAATCACTAGAGCTGTTGCGTCGCAGTAGCCTTTAATAGAGTACACCATCATACAGTCCACCATTGCTGCAAAGCCAGTAGAAAGCAAGGCTGCTGGTAATCAAGACCCACTCACCAATGGTATCGTAGTGAAAGTAGTGCATAGGAGAGCAAAACTGCACACAGAAAAAAATGTGAACACTTTCTACACATTTTCAACAGTGACAGTGCACGGACGTATGTGTGCAGAGGTTTTAGTGCAAAATGAAAATAAAGAACCAGGCACTTGTGAGAATAAACTTTGATATACATGTCCCCCCTTCCCCTGTCATAATCGAAATACAGACACATAAGTATACACAGCAACCCTGAGAAATTTGCTTCTTATTGAAATCAATATGCAAGCAGTGGAGGAAAAAATTTTACTTTAGGGCTTATGCCGAAAGGCCTTCTTGCAGATACATGTTTACTGAAATTTAATTTGCAAAGTGGGAAATAAATTGATTCATTATAACAGTCATGTGGGCATGCAGTAAATGCTTCTCTCTAAGTAAAAAAAAAAGTTAAAGTAAAGTAAATAAAATTAATTTACACTGTCTTTAACAGGAACAGCAGACGTAGCAAACATTCACAAAAACTCCCCAAACTCATGGTCATCCTCTTCAACAATCTCCTCTGCTCCTTCAAACAGCTTGTTGAAGCAGCCTGAACTGGGGTCACTGAAATGCTGGTATGGGTTGCCGGATGACCTGAGGGCCTTCATACAGATCCAGCAGAAGTATGTTCCGCAGCGCCAGCAGGTCATCTTATTGCATCCGTCTTGCTTCTGCAGACCCAGCATTGAAGAATAATTAGTATTAGTGCTTTACTCGCACACAAGCAATTCAAGATTATGATAAATCGCCAGATATAATGAAATGAAGATGACATTTCGCTGTTCACATATTGTTTTGACCAGACATCCTCCAGCTACGACGAAACATAGGATGTCATGTTTGACTTAAATCGGGGGAGGGGGGGAGTTATCGAGGGCTCCTTTCTTTAAACACAGCCTAATAAAACCAACAAACAATAAAGCTAAGAAACATATAGGGACAACATTACTTGCATGTTTTAACTGCAGTATAGTAATTATGACATAAATGGCAAAGAATTGAAGTGGATGAAAAATTGACTTGCCGCAGATCTGAAGCGAATTTCCAGTCTTTGGATAAAACCTACTACGTTCAGGTTTGACATAGTATCAATTATAGTGAAGCAGATGTTACCATACATTATATGAACACTCAAGGCACATTTACACCATCGCTAATGCCAGTGATGTATTGTCCCACTCAATGGAGCATGCATAGTATGCACGCTGAGGGTCAGGGGAACTCTATGGACGTAGAATGTGATTGACTGCGAAAACAACAGGGCAGAGCGGACGCTCTACAGTGGTATAGCAACAAAATAAGGTATGTGCCTTCAGTGAGCCAAATGTAACATATATCATAGCCTTCACAGAAAGTGGTAATGAGCTTACCACACAGAACAGCTCTTTACATACATTTGTCATTTCTTGAGAAAGAGAAAGAAGTTGGCGAGTGCAGGAATCGAGTACGCTATCGCCAAATAATTGGCACCACGTTACACTCTGCTGCTGCAAGAAATACTTAGATCAACGGGTCAAGTCAGAGAAGCCGCCCTGCAACACTTTTCTAAGTAACCATAGAATGGCCTTTAAACATTTTATTGCATCACTAATCAACCGCTGCAAATTTTTTAGAATATATCATGTATGAGCCAAGTTGCAGCAGATTTTTCACACGATGAACTGCTTTCTTTCCTGTTTCTCATCCCCAGCTAATTAGGGAAAGATGGCAGAAAGGAGGGGGAAGGAGATTTTGCGGGCGCATCATGGCCTTGAGTATTTGTTTTTCTTCAAAGCGCATAGTTGTGCATGTGGCAGTTTCTCTTGGTGGCCGCAGTAACGATGCAGTCCGCGATACTCAAATCAGGCAGTGGCCGTGAATTTGGGTATATATGGCATCATTTGAGGGAACGATTTCAGATCACTTTGAGAATTTAAACTTTAGGCCACATATTGCACTATAATGCATAGCGCACACATTTTCAGGAGCCTTGACTACCTATCCGCAGCATTTTTCGACCACGCTGAAAAAGTTTTGCAGTATCCGCTTAAGTAAAAATGTCATTGTATCAGCTGCTCAAGACGGTGCTAACATAATACTATAGCAGAGCACCCCTGGCTAGCCTCCCTGCCTTTGCCTCCTCGTTTTGACGTCTTTTTCAACAATACCTCTCTCACAGCCCAAAATATAATGGATTAGCAAATGTTGATGATATGTGGGGTTTAACGTCCCAAAACCACCATATGATTATGAGAGATGCCGTAGTAGAGGGCTCCAAACATTTTTACCACCTCGGGTTCTTTAACGTGCACCCAAATCTGAGCACACGGGCCTACAACATTTCCGCCTCCATCGGAAATGCAGCTGCCGCAGCCGGGATTCGATTCCCAACCTGCGGGTCAGCAGCCGAGTACCTTAGCCACTAGACCATCGCGGTGGGGCGATTAGCAAATGTTAGGGCAACAAGTTGAATGAAGCATCTTAAGTGACGTTGAATAAGGACAGTCAGCCAAGAACTTCATTAAGAGGACAATCCATGCAAGAGGCACACTCCTAGAGCACTGATTCTCTGGCAACGCTAGGAGCCCGAGTTGTGAAGCAACGAGCCACGATCTCATGAAACACAGTAGAAACAAACCTTTTCTATGACTTGTGATCAATTGCGATGACGTTTGTGCAATATTAATGACCATGCAGTCAGCAGTGTCATAAAGAAACGCGTCCCAAATGCAAGTCGTCTGACCAACTTTTAAACAAGCAGCAACAAGCACGAAATTGTGAGCAAGCCTGCAATGTGAACATACAATGGCTTCGGAAGTACAGTAGACTCTAATTTAATGGAACCTGAAGGGACCTGGAAAATATGTTCTATTTAGCAGGAGTTCCATTTACTGAGAGATGAATGAGGGGGGAGAATAAAAGCACAAAACCAATCCTGCCAAAAGCACTTGTTCCATTCAAGCAGCAGTTTTGTTTAACAGATGTCCAGTTTACTGTGAGTCTACTGTTATAAGTGAACAAGGGTGCAAAACAGTGAGGTCTTGCAAGTTGATAACGAAGTTGGCAACATGGCGTAGACTTTGTTTAGATCAACTGGTTTAAGTCACTCATAATTGAATTGTTTCAAGTAAAATGCACACTAAGGAAGGAATACTGATACACCCCCCAATAAGTCACTGGTACAAAAAAACACATTTAATTTATGGAGATAAATATAATTAAATAATAATTTTCACAAAACTACAAAATCTTCCAGCAAGCAAGAAAATGCACAATATTTTAACATACAATCCAGTCTACAGGGAAAGGAAACAACAAGATAAATGCTGCCTATACTACTTATATAAGGCATATATAGCGATTCAGTTCTGAGACAAAGCCACGACAACAATCTTTGAGGAATAAAAGTCAGCCTGACAGGTAACATAAAGCGCCTTTGCTTACATATCCAATGATACGTCAAGTTACATTGGTATGAATAGTAATTTCAAGTTTTAAAAATGAACCATTATGACCATTCAATTTGACAGAGGGATTGCCACTGCCCTCATCTGCCTATATTGTGCACCGTCTTACGACAAGTAAAGAAAAGCAACAGAAACAAGAGTTTGCAGACCTCAATAGAAATGCTGCAGTGTGGGCACTTCTTGCTGTTCTCCTGCATCCAGTCCTGGGTGAGTGATTCATCCACCAGGAGTTGCAGTGTGCGTTTCCCATATCGCTTCTCCATTGCTTGTTTCCCCGCTGGAGTTGCCGACAGGTATTCATCTCGGATAGCCCGCTGCTCACCTGCAATTAGCAGTCATGCTTATTTTTATTGAAACAAGATAGTAAATTAACCAAGTTGGTTGAAGTCCTTTTTTAATGGAACAGCGCACTACTAAACGAAGGACGAGACAAGGGTGCACAGAACCCGTGCTAAAGTGCATGTCCTCATCCTTTGTTTATTAACACCCTGTTCATTATTTTTATGTCACTGAGTTTGACAATAGTGTTACTAGAGGAATAGAAAAAAAAGTGGCAGTAAGGTCTCTCAGCTTAGTAAATAATGCAAATAATGGGTAATAATAAAATACATGGATTTGCCTACTTTTTCTGTCTGTGGATTCATACGTCATCATTGAATTACTTTTAATGCTTTAGTTTTTTCAGTGCTTGATGACTACCAAGTACCAGAAATGAGCAAACACTACAAATTGTAGCACTAAAGTAAATTTTTTTTGTAGAAAACTACCAATTAGAAAGGCGAATACCCAATAAAAATTGAAAAAACTGATGAAAATATCAAAATGTCACTAAGAAATAACAACTGTTCTGAGAGATAGAATTCATTTCACATATTTTTTAACAGTTGGCTATATTTTTGGTGGATTGTCAGCACAGGGTGGCTGCATGCCAGCGTAATCCAGAACGGCACATACACTATTGTGCACAAATCGTAGGTTGTTTATTTTCAGTCAACTTTGATTTCTGTTTGCGCCCAGTCTAGCTGTTTATACACTGCTTCGAAGCATGCAGTGAACAACATTGGGGATATAGTATCACTTTTTTTGCGCTTTAACATAGAACAAGCATTAACATAGCAGTGGAGTCTTCATAGACGTCAGCTAATGTATTGAGATAGGATTTAGGTACTCCTTGTGAATTTAATGCTTTTAGAACTGCAAATATTTCTACTGAGTCAAGTGCCTTCTTGTAGTCAAATTAAGGCTAAAGTAACGAGGTTTGTTGTATTCAGCATCTTTTTCCATTACCCAGTTTATTACATGAATGTCACCTACTGTACAGTAGGTGACATTCTGCCTTTTCAGAACCCAGCTTGTTTTTTGGTTGGTTGAAAGCAAGTATTTCGTTTATTCTGTTTGAGATTACTTTAGTAAATATTTTGTATATCAACCAAAAGACCTATATTTCTATAGATGGGCCTATGGTTCTTTAATGTCTCCTTTCTTATGTATTAGTATTGTAGTGTAACTAGTGTGGGCTTGGTCTTTGCGAGCCAAAGGACCGCGTTCACCGTCGCCTCGCGTGACTAACGCCACTGAACACTGCGCATTCAGACAGCCGAGGCACTTAGCGCAGCGTGGCAAGTACACACTCCTGCTCTCAAACAAGTCGCAACACTTAATTGCCTGCAGCAACACAAAAAACACAGTACAGCACCTATTGCAAAAAGGCAGCGGGAAAGCAAACGAGGCTTACCCACGCCAGGGGCGAAAAGTGCAACACAAAGAGTGCAATGAGCACGTCTCCGTGTGCAAAAGGGATTGAGAGAAAGGGGCCCTCGCGACTGCTGCATGCTCTCAGGATCTGTGACCGCTCGAGCGAGGGCAAACTCTGCTCGCGTTGGCTTCTAGAGGTGCGGGTCTACGACCACATGAGAGGACACCGCCCTGCTCTTTGGCCTAGTGTTCAAAAGGGGCAACGAAAGGTAAGCATTCGCTGCGGGCGCAAAGAACGATTGTCGAGTCCCAGTGAGCTCCAAATGAAGAGAACCGACTCTCGCTCGAGTGCAGTGCCACAGTTGACATCCGGGTGAGACGGGTCAACTTCACTCTCGCTCCCCCCCGCACTGGTAAACTGCAGAGGAGGGGAGAGTCATGTTAGGAAATGAGAACGGCGACAAAGCCCGGGCAATAGAGACAGGTTCCCACAGTTATATGGTGGCATTTTCGCAGCTCGCTGGGAATGTTGCCGTCTTAAGGCATTGAGTTTAAAACGTAGCTATTTTATTCCAAGTAAATTCTCCTCTGTCCTTAAATATCAACAGTTATTCCATTGTCGACAGCTGCTTTTCCCCACAGCATATCCTGCATGGACTTTCTAATCTTGTAGGTAGCTACACATGTAACTTCCGTATCTTTCTCGTCGCTATTTCCACTCTAGGTTGGATGGCTTATTTTCGAACTACAGTCAAATCCCACTACAACGAAAATGACGGGTCACACAAGAAAATTCATTGTAGCAGAATTTTGTTGTAGCAAAATTTTATCTACGGGCCACACAATTTGGTAAGATCTGATATGATCATAACTTGTCCTTTGATCCTGGCAAGTGCATGCATTGAACTCTCCCCTATCTTTGACATACCTGGCTGCACTCCAAGTGAACGTATTTTCTCGCATATAACATGATCAAAATATGCAAAAAATTTAAAGCTAAAGTCGGCGTCTAGGTTATATGAGAATATCGATGTGCAAGTTGACTTCACAGTAATGCAAGGTAGGCGGGCTTTGCATCAATATGGAGGTACATTTTAGATACTGAGCAGCTTAGGGAGGAGTTCAATCCTGTGTGCGGCGTGACCTCCCTTATTGCACGTTTCCGTCACATCCCCCTCCTCTCTCCCAAGTCGTCGACGAAGGCAGGAAGGCAACGAAACTGCTTTCTCAGTAGTGCAGTGCCCGCACCTCCACTGTGCATGTGCATCCCCCTTTCCTACACTCCCCGTCAGAACTTCTTGCACGTTTCCGTGAGACAGAGCACGTCTGCTTTGATCATAGCCATTGATCGTCGGTCTTGTGGCTTTAAACATTTCCGTGAGACGGAGCGCATCACCTTTGGTTAGCATGGCATCCCGTTCGATGTATCTGGCGTGTGGTTGAGGGACCGTCTGTTTAGCAGTGCCATGGTCATGAGCACTGGCAGCGTTCACAGCAGCGGCCACCGACACCAAGCGATCGTCACCGCCAGTTTTAGTCAGGCAGAGGTGGTGTGCCTGCTTAAGGGAATGTAGATGAGTTTGTGTGGGTGCCATTCACCATGTCCGCGCTGCTTTCGCACTCACACGATTTCCCTTTTTGGGAGATGGCGTAATTTTGTTCTTTCTTCCATCATTTGCAGTCGGGGGGTGTGAGTTATACACATGGGATGGTTATAACAAGAAAATACAATGTTCAGACGACCCATGTAACGTGGCGATCACGCATCGCCGCGAATGATCTAGCCAAAGCTTTGCTAGAGGCCAACTGAGAACTGCTATTGAAAGTGACGAAGCTCTGCACCACTGTGGCCATAGTGAACGAAGGGAAAGCCGTAACGCTTCCTGCCATTTTATGGCTTTATTGCCTTCAACCTGCAGCTGTGTTAGCTGTGCAGCTCCGCAGCATATTTCCCTGTTGATACACGCGACGATAGCGACCGCAGTTTTCTGCGCAGCTGTTGCGGCAAACAGCAGTTTCCAATCTGTGGACACTGTTTTCAAGCTGGCCGTGTGCGTGCCTTCAGAACTGCGTTGTTGCTATCCTTGTTCGCATCGACGCAGTTTTTCCCGCAGTGTTGCGGCATACAGAACTGGGTAGAGTTCGCACATGTACTTTCATGACCGCCCGTGATCGTCACGACCGCATTTGTGTTCGCAGTGGTTGCGGCAGAATGTAGTTACGCTTGGACTAGGTGCACGCTGGCCTCGCGTACACCATCATAACGCTGTGGATGCCATTCACAATCGCTGGGCTAGTGACGACGAGCGGTAGTTTTGCTTTCAGCGCGACGTCAAAAACATGCCCGGAGTTCTTGAATGATTATACCACTGCCCACGTGTGCATCCAACCTACCGGCAGCAGCATAGTGGTTAGGCGACCTGTCTTCGAGCATCTAATGGCGAGAAATTAACTATGATGCGCATGCGGCCGCAGAAAACATGTCTCCGATCAACACACGGGTGTTGCGATGCAGCCGCGCGCTTCGGATGTCACGAGCCAATGAGAAATGGCCGAATTGGTAGCGGAATTTCACGACAACCCTTTTCCTTAGATGGCAGTACTCGCGAAAACTTCATGGCAGCGGAAGTATTTCGAAAAAGTACTATACGTTGTTACGAAACATATTTCACGTAGTTCTTTATGGGCAGCTGACGGATTATCGAAAATTATTCGTTGTAGCGGACTTCATTATTGCGGTATTCGACTGTACATATATAGTTCAGCGTAGAATTCCTATTCAACTCAAACTATGTCACTGCAGTTATTCATAATGTTTCTCTGCATGTTCTTAAGGGCGGGCAGTTTCTTTCTTTCGTGTGTCAGATCAACCAAAGGAACGCAGACAGGCACGTTTGCCTACCTGCCCTTTGGCAATTTTTATACACTGAAAGACTAGCGCAGCAGCACCTTCCTGAAAAGTTGCGTAATATTTTATACAGAGCAGTCGAAGAATATATATATATAAAAAAAGATGGACACCTTGAATTGATTATTCAGTGCCCCTTTTTATAAATACACAATGAACTGTTCTACTCTGGTAATGCAGATGTTAATTCAGCTCAGTACAATGAAAAGTTGTCAAAGTTTTTTGGTTCATGATGAAGGGGCGCGCAACAAACACAGCACATGGCCAGTAGCCCGTCGTCTTATGCCCCTCTTTTCAATGGCATGTTCGGGTTTCTTTTCTTTTGTAGAGTTTAATTTACTTTTACCATGCAATTTCAAACTTCCATTTGTATAACGAAAAAAAAAAATAATGTGTCTAGATCAGTCAGCTGTTGGTATTGCTTGATACAACATGCTGTAACATAAGTTTGTGCATCCTTGAGCTGGTATAAGAGGGCTACTGCATAATTTCTTACTAAAATAAAAAGAGAGGCAACCATGGTGCTGATGCGCTTAGCTGCATGCTGGAACAGCACCTTTTTACCCCCCCCCCCCCCCCCAAGAAAAAAATGAAAGGTAATAAATTTGATCTGAACTCTGCTTCAGATTCATGCAAGCAAGCTCCCTCACTGGCTTTGCTATTGAATAAGACACAAGATGGCTGCCGTTCAAACAACAGTTCATGCGGTTATATGGCAAGTATTAGAACACATCCGCGGCGAGCTGGATTTGAAAGACGAACCAGGTTTTAGCCGGCATGGCTGGACCCCGTGATAGACCATACGGCAGTAGAGGCAGAAAACAAAGTAACAGTTGGCACACTGTGCCATGGATAGACCTGGGTCCAACACCACCGGCCGCTGGCACTGTAGTCGGGGGCAGTAGGTCAGGTCCTCCTGGGAGTCCAGGTAGGCACTGAGCAGGCTCTCCTCATAGCGTGAACCAAGAGCATCACCAACCAGTGCTTTCACCTGCATGTAACAAGGAGCGAGAGTCTGAGAGAATGCTTCAAGCTCCTCCGAGACAGAATATCAAGCACTGCTGAAAAATGAAAAAAGAAGAAAGAAAACAAGACGTTAAAGGGGTCATCACCCACATCTTGGGTTCGGCGAGAAAAATTCTTTGGATAACAGACACTGCTACAAACATCAGCCAAATCTTGAAGTCATATGCACCAAGGGGAGCTCTTCGGCGAGAAAAATTCTGTAGATAACAGACACTGCTACAAACATCAGCAAAATATTGAAGTCGTATGCACCAAGGGGAGCTTACAAGTAGAGTGCGTAGTTTCCATTTTCCAGGGCCCTCCTCACTTTCTTCGGGGCTGCCAGTACCCACTGCTTTACGTCATACAGTAGGCAGCAAGCTAGTATTGGTCGATAGCCAACATAAATCAAATGTGGTGTTTGGATCAGATGCGCTTCTTGCCACGGGATGCCGACGAAGTGAGACATAACAGCAGAGAGCAACCACATTTCATAAAAAGCACTCAAGGTCATGGTGGTGGGTGCCGAAATGATCTTTTTCGCCTGTGCCATCCGTCCCTGCTATAGAGAGGGAGGGAAATATGGTATGAAGAAAGGCAGGGAGGTTAACCGGAAAGCAAATATCTGGTTTGCTACCCTCCCTACTATAGGTTCCAGTGTGCTCCCCAGGATGAGAACAAAGAGAAAGTACTTCTTTAAAGCTCGTGACAAATCCCTTTAATTCTACTTGTTCCTATCAGATTTGATAAACTTTGGCGGTAATCAATTCATAAGACAATAAGCTCCGATACTGAGGTCATTCGATGATTACTTAAAAAAGTGGTTCACGACTCCAACTGACAACCAACTTTTATGGTACCCACTAGTTCAGTGTACTGGACAGCTTGCCAGCCACAGTTTTCAGTCTTACTGTGGTAAAGCAGAACGCAGAAATTACCAAGGAACATTATTATCAATTAGAACATTTCAGTCTACGTGAGACTTAGTTGTACGTTCAAAATAGCAATAGGTGAGAGTGACAGTGACTATGCGACTCTATCGGCTGGAAGTGGCATGATATCCCAGTAGTGACACGGCTGCTGGATAAAAAAGAAGGTGCGGCCTGTTGCCTCGCGTTGCGGTCAATTGGTGAGCTGGTCTTGGCAGAGTTGACCGTTTCGGCCGCAATTATGGTGAGGACTCTGACACTCCACTCATCAAAGGGGATGACACTGTTTTTCAACGTGGTTGCCTGAAGATTTGTGCGTGTTCGTGTTCGTGTGCCTTTTTGTGCACTTTCTCGTGCTTTTTTTTGTACAATCTTGTGTGGGGGGTAGCTTTCCTCATGTTTCCTTCGTTCGAGAATGATTCCTTTGTGCGCACGTGTGTGGCAGACGATTCTTTAGTGGAGTGAGGCCATGAAGCTGCAGTGTGCCACTGAGCAGCTCGAACGCAAAAAAAAAAGGACTCTACTTTGAAGTACAACGTATTCCCTTGCGATCTATAGTGTCGAGAAGCGTATTTTTTGGAACAGAGCACTTATTTTTGTCACAAATGCTGAATTAGATGTGCGCCATCGTCTCCAGATGACAGCATCAAATCACCCGACCAAACATTCTTTCCATGGGCACGCGCAACGAAATAAGAAAACAGGCATCAACAAAATACACCAAGGGCGTGCCCTTACTATCTACACACGGGACAGCCAACCAGCACAGATCTGGAGAATTCAAGACATAGGAGTGGGGCCTCTTTTGGGGGCGGCAGTCTCCGCAAACGAACCGGTGAGACAAACCCTTTCACCTGGCTGTTAGTGTGGTATGCGTGCTATGCGCCGTACAATTACTTGGAATGTTCGCGAAACTGGAAAGGATCCAAACTAGAGCTGACGAAGGGTAGGGCAGGTGGTGAACTCGAGCAAGGAATTGTGATGTTCAAGCAGTTTGAGTGAGTCGTGTAGTGCAGTCAGTCTATGTTGAAGATCCGAGTTACGACCCCGCTGGAGTACTTTGTTGAAGAGTGTCGCCAAGACGACGACCAGCACTGGAGTTCGTTTCAGTGTTTCCTTCAAAAAAAATATTTGAGACACATTCGAAGAATAGTGTGAAGTACACAAGCGTGGTGAATACTCAAAGCGGCTAAGGCCGCTAAGTGTTCTTGTGCAGTTTATAAAAAAATTGTAGCGCCGTAAGTTTGTTGCCGTTATTTTAGATACCCTCTTAGTGATTTTGTGAGTTGTAATTGATACCTGCCGATTGTACAAGTTTGTGTGATGCCTTTACTGAGAATACATATTTTGTTTGTGTTGTAAACTCCTGACTTTAACTCGGTCTTTGGACCAATACCGGCGTTGTTGGTACCTTGAAAGGACCTACATTTAAATTATGCATGCTTTTGCGGTGCGTTTCTTGTTGGGCCAACACGTCAGCCCTTGGAATCTATCAGGTTATTGTCCCCCCATGAACGGAATCAGTGACCCTTTTCATTTCAGGTGAGTCAAATGGCAGCATTCGTCGAGAGTACTGAGGCCTATACTCGACGAAAGATTGGCCCTCCTAGGGAAAACTGTTCACATATGTGGTGTAATAGGTACTCCTAATAACGATTCAGAATCATACCAGTATTGGGCAATTACAAAACGCGTTATTTACGGCCTACTGTCGCACATAGCAATGCGCCGCTTCGGCGGCACACAACAGGAGCACCTTGTTTTTCATCCAGCAGCCGTGGTAAAGATAATAATCCTCGGGCACGATTCTCAATGTCTTTATCGTGTGGACGGTCCACTTTGGCCTCTGCTGATTGGCTAGAAATCAGCGAGCAGCGCGCCCCTCTTTACTGTCCACCTCCTGCAATATCATTTTAACGTCGCAAAGCTTTAAGAACTCTCGACACAAATGAGAGGAACGAAATGCATTTCACGGCAATCAATGCTGTGCACTGACGCAGTATCTCGCAGGCCATGCATGAACTATAATCAAGTTAGCCTTTGAGTGTGGTTTAACGCGGACGTCCGCCTACATACCTGGAAGGTCGCTACGTGTTCCCTGCATCATTTTCACACACCTGAACTCATTCACACGGATGTTCAGACTTGCCAAGTTTAAGTGTCTTCTAAACGTAAATTTTGTCCACTCTTTTTGTCATGCGGTCAGAGTCAGTCAATGCAATCAAGAGTGCGATAATGTCCCAGCTCACTGCTCTTTCAACTTACTGAATGTGCTTCTCCGAAGTAGGACATGTCTACAAGGTTGAACACATCGCAAATAGGGAACCCTCGAAAACCATGCCTGCTCACTCACAAACTTAGTGTGTGCAAAAAAAAACTCAAGTGTGTCGCCATGTAATGAAGGACACCATGGCTTGCTTCACTTGACAGCAATGCCGCTTATAGGACGTGAGCGTTTCTCATGTAGCGATAAACATGGAATAAAGCACAAATGGCTAGACTGATCCATTTAAATATTACAATTTAAATATTAGGCATTAATGACAACAAAGTATCAAGACTAATTTTAAGTACTGCTATGTTAAGCAGCAGTAAACAACCTACGATGTAGCACCTTGAATGCCTCCGTCGCAGAGTGCCAAGGCACGAAAGGTGCATTATGCTTTTCATTTTACTTTCTCTGGCTATTCAATATTACTCATTCCTACCTATGTGACAATTGACAAGCCTGTACTCTAGCACAATAATTTACAATATTTTCATATCTACCAATATCTCCTGACACTTTCTTAGCAGTTACTAGTACTGTTAACACATAAGGCAAAAAAATCCGTCAGCACTGGTTGCGTCGAGCCTACGTTTCAAAGAGCGGACTTGTGTTCTCAAGGCTAGAACAGAACCAGATATAACGAAATATTGGTTATAACGAAGTAAATGAAGAATGGTCGAGTAATAGGTAACAGTGTCTGGAATAAGTCTTTAATACGAATTTCAGGATATAACGAAGCTACTTTCATGTAAGATGCAACTTTGTTATAATGAGGTTTGAATGTATTTCTGTTCTAAGCCTTGGGAAACGCAAGTTCGCTAGTCGAAACGTCGGCTCTACACAACCCCTCTTTTCGAATATTTTTTCATTGCGAGTTTCCATCTTCCCCTTCCTGCAGTTAACACATTAGTATTACAGTAGAATCTCGTCGATGATACGATTCGAAGGAAGCACGCAAAATATTCGTATCATTCCTAATTCGTATGAACCAAAAAACGAGTTAAAGCTGATCATGAAGATGAACAAGAACTTCATTGAAGTCGCTTACTTCTTGCTGAAAAAAAAAAAATTCCATGATGTTCTGAACATTCCCGCTTTCACCGCCACTCAATAAAGTGCCGGTTTCCTCACTCATGCTACTGGCGCTATGAGGCACTTATACACTTGGCATCAAAGAGCGCGAAAGCAGCAAAACTAACTGGAAATTCACTTGCATCTCTGCTTAAGCAGCCGGAAAACCTTGCCCCGCTGTCGACACGAAAAAAATCAATTCTAGAGAATTCATGACAGACAATTCAAGTGAAAACCCTCGAGCGGCTGCAAAACTACGTCCGCGCCCCTCGGAAATGTTCACGTTCATTTTGCCCTTCGTATACATTCCGCAGCCGTCGCTTGAGAATTCATTCCTGAGCGTTAAAATCTATCTGTACCAAGTTCTAGTTATGCATGCAAAACAGTGAAAGGAAACAGCTTACACTTCTATAAACATTATTTCAGGAGATACGCCAGAAAAATCGACACGAGTAGACGCATCGGCAAGGACAGATTCAGCTGGCAGTGAAAAACGAGACACGTTAGGGCATGCCGACTCACTGCTGCTGCACCTTCTTCTACTTCCAGTGTTCCCAACGATTGTAATTCAAACCAGGCTCTTGATGAGTGCATCCTTTTCAAGGCCATGAGCTTTGTCATGCTGCACGGGCAGTTCGCGATTACGTGGACGCGGGCCACCGCCGACCATGCCTAGAGTTCTAGGTTAGTCTAACTATGCCCGCCGACGCCTTTGTCGCCATGTTGAATGTACAGCTGGTTGTTTGCATCACGTGGTTTGATTGCTAGTGCAGCCGGTGTAGCTGAAACCATAGCAGAAAGGCGACCTGCTATCATAGTGGCGGAAAAGTTGGTCTCCACTGATTTTTTTCGCATCAAGCCTCACGGCAAGGTTTTCCGGAAGCGAATCGAGGAAAGTTTCGGTGAGTTTTGCCGCATTCGCTTTTTCGAGGTCAAGTGTGAACGGGTCTTCCTCCCACAAATAAGGCGCATTGCACCACTCGCATGCAACTGGTTAATTGCACATTCATATTATTGTTGGTAGCTGGGGAAACCATTCATATAACACCGAATCACAGTGTTTTATATAATGTAGTCCATTCGAAGCAATCTTAAAATTGGTATCATGGCAAAATTCACATCGACCGTAGTTGTATCATTGAGATTATACTTTACGAACTAAAAGAGAGACAAAATGTTCAGTACCTGCGTGGGCAACACCTGAGTTGTGCACTTCTCCTGTGGACAACGGAGCTGGCTTGCACAGCCACTCTCAATTTGTATGCGAAAGTGCTCGCGGAGGCAGTCTCGGCAGAATGGGTGGTCGCAGCCAATCATCAGCTCAAAGTCGCAGCCCTGTTTGGACGTCAGGCACACTTGGCACGTCAACCACTGCAGGTCAAATAGCCGCCGCTTTTCTTGACTGTTGTACTCTACAGGAGAGTAAGAATCGGTTTAGGTTCGCATTAGACCATCACACGTGGCAGATTATGAGCATCACTATAATATAAATGGCAACAAACTTTGAAGTTTTATATACCAAAACCTAAGTGTATATATAGGGTGTGCCACAGCGGGGAATTTATTAATGCTGGCCGCCTTGAGAATTTTACCATGCACCTGAATCTATGAACAAGGGCTTTGTTGTTTCAATATCACCATACTGCCATTCAGAAATCGGGCCCATGATTCTCCACTCACAAGAAAATGTACTAATGCTTATGCACTTACCGTACTTACCCAATTCCAATGCGCACCTTTTTTCTGGAAACGTATACCTTATAATCGCATGTGCGTTAGTTTCAGGTACTGGCTCCTACCCATGGGATATTTATCTTTTTGGGTCGGGTAAGTCAGATGCACGTTGGAATCGGTGACACGTTGTAATCGGGTAAATATGGTAATTTAGGCTACAGTATGTACCTCTATAGGCCTGAACACGAAACAAGTTAGTAAAACGACTATTTTATGCACATGCTTCTTCCAAGCCTTTGTAAGCCTGATGCAAGGCTCAGACTGTGAATTGGCAAAGAAGTTGGCATAATAACTTATTTTTAGTGCACACTGACACACCGACAGAGAGAGGGAATGACACCAGCGCTACTCACAACTGAAGGCTATATTCAGAAAAGGAAAATATATCTATCACTGCTATCATTCGCTGCCCATGCGCACCTGTTGTAGTTTCCAAGTCCAGGGCTATCGCACCATATCAACTGTACTCAATATTTCCTTCAGCAGCGACACTTTTTTTTTTTCCAATATAGTCATTGACGGCAGGCTGATACAAGACAATTGCCTAATATGGATGTGAAATGCCTCCGTGTTCTCCCGTACAGGGTGATAATGGTGCCTAAACAAACGACTGCATTTGAAAAGCACTGTATAAAAGATCGTGGAGGCATTTCACATCCACATTAGGCAATCATCTTGTATCAGCTAGCCGTCAATGACTATCTTGGAAAAAAAAGCGTCGCTGCTGAAGGAGATATTGAGTACAGCAGATATGGCGCAGTAGCCCCGGACTTTGAAACTATGATGGTGTGCATGGGCAGCGGGTGATAGCATTGATATGTGTACTTTCCTTTTCTAAATAAAGCCTTCAGTTGATAGCAGAGCTGGTGTCGTTCCCTCTTTTTGTCCATGTGTGAGTGTGCACTAAAAATAAGTTATTATGCATTCATAACAACTAACTTGTCTTGCAGTAAGGATAACTCTGCTTATAATGAACCTCCATGTAACGAATTCATCGATATAATGGTTTTTCTATTCCCAACTGTTACTCCAAAGAGGCACATGTATTTGCGACCTCTGTGTCACAAAGTAACAGCGGGAGACATCCTTGATAAAACAAATTTTTGCCCCAAACAAGCTAGAGATTTAGCCCAGGATTTTGTCATTTTGGCATGAGCGTGTATCTTCTGTAGGTGTCCCGCTGCCGACGAAGGGCGAAGCGGCGGCGGCGAGGCACCTGCAGAAGATACAGCGGCTAACGACAGGTGGACCTGCGCCCCATGAGCCGGCATTGCCACTGTTCTTGCCGCCGCGGGCACATGCGCGGATGTGTCCTCCCCCTCCCTCCAAACCGAAAACGAAATAAGAAAACTACTTTTGCGTTGGCAGTGCCATGCCTTTAGCTAGCGTCACATATGTGAGGCCACACTGCATATGGAGAGCGCTTTACCGAATGACGAGCTCGAAAGGACCTTGATCATCATCTGTTCATCTTATCAGGAGTTCAACTTATCAGAAGTGCCCCCAAAAATGAAATGCTAGCATGCCACGTGCGCCCAAATATGTTGCTTGAAAATACTAAATGGAGTATATTTACAATGGGCAGCAAAGGAACAAAAAAGGCATTTATTTGGCTAAGCTTGATGTTTTTAAGTAGAGTATTTACACTAATTTAACGAGTACTAAATTTTGCGAGCTTATAATAAATATGCTCATGAATAAATTGCTGCCACATTTTAACAATGAAATTGTAGCACGACCCTATTTTCACGATTAGAAAAAAAAATAAAAGAAGGAGAGACAGACACAATTCTTTTTCAAGGAGATGAAAATTTATTCTTCTAGTAGTTCACCTTCTGAGAGGCTGTGTTACTGGCTTTGCTATCACTTTTGGATACCCTTCCATTGCATACGGCTATCCTTGACAAAGCCAATATACGAACAAGTTGCTTATGAAAGTCTGCAAGCTTTTGTTTGAGGTTGGGTATTCTCTTAATTTCAGACCAGAGTAACTTTTCCTGAATGACGTGCAGCTTAAGATCTCCATTTACGCTACTCACGATCATAAGCCTCGGACACACAAAAAAGACACGACAAAGCCATATTCAGTGTGCAAGATGACCTTCCTTTGTTGTGCACTTTCATAATGAAAATGGCACATCACAATTTGATACATTTCACTGGGAACAGATATAATGTGTGCAGCCCCTGTGTGCTCAGGCGCCATTGTATGATGGGGATGGCAATGCATCTGACTCCTCTGATGGGAGTGCTAGTGCCGCACATGTGGTTTTGATTTCATGTGATTACAATGCACATACAATCTTTGTTGCAATTTTCAGTTTCATTTAACTTTTTTTCGCCCCACCCCCACGCCCTCTTATGCAGTTTCCCTATAGCCAAGCCCTTATGGTTCTTCAGTTCTCCACTATACTTAACGCCAGTCTTTGTTGGTCGCTGCGAGAGTTCGTCTTAACAGAAGAGGCCTGCCACGCAGATTTCTTTTTCATTGAGTCCATGGGAAACCAAACAAACATTCATAAGCTGTTTCTCTTAAGTGAGAATTCATCCTAATAGAGTTCCCCTTAACGGGAGTTCACTACTGTTTCCCGCAGAAACCGTGTCGTTCACCCTTCGTTTTCGACGTCGTGTGCGCGTGTATGGTTTCACTGCGTGCACATGATGTGGCCACCGATGACACCATCGAGGAGATGTCAGATTAGGCACCGATAGAAACTTCCAGAGACCATGGTGACAACGATGGATCTTCGAAGGTCGACCCGTCACGTGTATCGTCTTGCGTCGAGAGTTCGCAGGACCGTAGTCCTCGCGATTAGCCGATTAGCTCTGTCAACAGCATGACGCCGCGTTGAATGCAATACTAACAAATTGTAATGTTATATACGAAGTAAGGCTGGCATCCAACTCTTTTGGGTTCGATATCGCAGAACTTCTACAAACGCTGGTGTAAGCAAATACGGCAGCTCCAGAGAGGTGCTCTTTCAACACAGTCTCTTCGCGTTGAAAGCGCACTGATGCTTGCCGAGATAACACCCGTGCCTGATATTGCGACCACGTCCTTAATATTGTTACGGGGAAGATTTATTCACCGAGAGCTGGTCTTGCTAACGGCTTAAAGAGCGCACAGTCATGCAGGCCAACAGGAGAAGCTCGAGAGTCCAACCCACTACAACCACGTTGTCGTCTTCTTCATTTGGGTGCCAATTCAGCTGTGTCGGGGTGACAGTTTCATACACGTATCATCACCCCGGCCCGTAAGGCACCGTCTCGGTGCCTGTTAAATGAGCGAGTCGGCGTTGTAGGGCTTGAGACGAGAAACGTGGACTACTTCCGTTCTGGGTGCAGCAGCTGATGAGTTTGTGGTAGCGGAAATCTCGTAGGTCACAGTTGTGACCTGACGAATGACTCGGTAGGGCCCGGCGTATCGCGATAGTAGTTTCTCGCAGAGGCCAACACGTCGAGATGGGAGCCACAAGAGAACAAGAGATCCCGCAGAAAAAACGGCATCTCTATGTCGACGGTCGTAAAGGGACTTCTGTGCTGTCTGCGACGACGATAACCGAGCGCGCGCTACCGCGCGTGCCGTGAGGGCCCGGGTGATCGCATCCTGAGTGTACGAAGTGGAGGATGGGTGGTCTGATGAAAGCTGTCTGTCGAAGGGCAGTAAGGGATGACGTCCGAAGAGTAGATAAAAAGGGGAGTAGCCCGCTGTTTCATGACGCGACGAGTTATAGGCGAAGGTTACGAACGGAAGAGCTATGTCCCAATCAGTGTGGTCGGTAGATACGTACATGGAAAGCATGTCCGTCAATGTGCGGTTTAGGCGCTCCGTAAGGCCGTTAGTCTGAGGGTGGTAAGATGTGGTGAAGTTGTGACGGGTAGCACAAGATCGGAGTAGGTCATCAACCACACGAGATAGAAAGTAGCGACCACGGTCTGTGAGCAGGTGAGTCGGAGCGCCATGCGGGAGAATAATGTCGTACAGCAGGAAGTCGGCAACGTCGGTTGCGCAGCTGGTTGGTAGCGCTCGAGTGATTGCATACCGAGTGGCATAGTCTGTGGCCACTGCAATCCATTTATTTCCAGTTGTAGAATTCCATTTATTTCCATTTATTTCCAGCGGGTTCTTCACACAACCCGGCTCTGGAACTCCGCTGTGGACGCCAGCTTTCTCCAGCCGCGATGCCTGAAACTGGCACTCAGGCCTCGCCATCCGCGCCGGCTCCATCACCTGTGATTCCCCCCCATCTTCTCGACCCTGGCACGTTTTCCGGGACGGACAGCACGGACGTAGAAGAATGGCTCGCATTATTCGAGCGCGTCAGCAAGCACTACAGGTGGGACGAAACGCTTATGCTGACAAATATTCTGTTCTACCTAAGGGGTACGGCACGCGCCTGGTATGAGACGCATGAAGAAAAATTAACCAGCTGGGACACATGCAAGCAAAAGCTTCGCGATTTGTTCGGTCGGTCAGTTGCTCGTAAGATGGCAGCCAGGCAGGACCTCGCGTCGCGTGTTCAATCATCGACGGAGTCGTACGTCACGTACATCCAAGACGTACGTACTGGCACTGTGCCGGAAGACGGACAAAAACATGTCCGAGGCGGACAAGATCAGCAACGTGTTGAAAGGCATTGCTGATGATGCTTTCAACATACTAATGTGCAAGAACTGCACCGCTGTCGACTCCATCATATCCGAATGCCGACGATTTGAACAAGCAAAAAGCAGGCGAATCACCCACCACATCGCGAGACTACCAAACACTGCTGCGACTTCGTCTTGCGAGGATTCTGCAGCACCCCGTTCACTTGCGCCTCCTGCCAATATCGCAAGGATTGTTCGCCAGGAGCTGGAAGCCATGGCACCCGCTTCCTATCAGCCCCCTGCGCAAGACCACTGGGCAACAGTCTCGCTCATTCAAGCCGTCGTACGCCAGGAGTTTGCTAACCTGGGCGTCCCGGTTCCCCAGCCGCAGCCCATGAGCACTCCTGTCCACAACGCTGACCACCACTCTGCCCCACTTGTCGCTGCGGCAGCTTCGACTCCTCGGTTTCCACCACGCTACCGAAATCCATCTGAGTGGCGTACGCACGATGATCGACCCATCTGTTTTTCTTGCTCTCGAGTTGGGCACATCTCCCGCTATTGTCGCAACAGGGGGTATTTCCGGCCAAGCTTTCGTAATGTCGACCGCCGTCAGGACCGTGGACACTATTCGCAACCCGGTTTTTCGGATGACCATATTCAGGACTCTTCAGCTCGCCGTTCATCTCCACGCTTCGAACCGTCCTACGCTGACGTCGTCGCCCAAAGAAACTGGTCAAGCCGCTCGCCGTCACCTCAGGGTCGGCCGTCACGCTCCCCTCAACGCAACCGCTCTCCGTCACCGGCTTATTCTGGCCATTCCCCGGGAAACTGACGAGTGCAGCTCCTGGAGGTGGCGCTGCGTTGACGACTCGGAACGAAAACTCTCAACCGGCTACAATTTCAAGACGCAATTTACTTCGGGTGTTCGTCGATGGCCACACCGTTACTGCTCTAATTGACACTGGTGCCCAAGTATCTGTTATGAGTTCTACACTTCGATATCGCCTGAAAAAAGTTCTCACACCAGCTATGTTCTCTACTGTTCGAGTTGCTAACGGAAGTCGAACATCGGTGCTTGGTATGTGCACTGCCCGCGTTACTGTTGCTAGCCACCACACTTCCGTTCTCTTCGCAGTCCTCGATGCTTGCCCACACGACGTCATCCTTGGAATTGACTTCTTAACCGCCCACTCCGCCCTCATCGATTGTTCTACCGGTATCTTACGGCTTTAATTGCCTTTGCGCTCCGATTTCACTCCTCCAAGTCGCACTCGGCTACGATCCGTGGAGTCTCTACGGCTACCGCCCCAGGCTGCTATGTACGTTCCTCTGTCGCCCTTCCCGTCCGTTCCTGCTGGAGACTATCTGGTAGCTCCCCTCATTGATTTGACCCTTACGCACCACATCGCACTACCACATACTATAGTGATTGTTGCTAACAACACTGTGCTACTTCCAGTTCTGAACTTCTCTACGTCGACCCAAGCTCTTCCCCAAGGCATCACTTTAGCCGATCTTTCCACCCTTGATGAATGTTCGATTTGTTCTTTTACACCTGACACTAAGACCATGGCGAAACCTGTCATCACGTCGCAAAATAAGGCGTTCCTCGACAAAATGATATCCAGCTACCTCTTACCTTCCCAAACTGCGGTGCTCCGGGGTGTTCTGTTTTCTTACCTGGATATCTTTGACGTCGACGACCGTCCCCTGGGCCGCACAAGTGCCGTAACCCACCGCATCGACACCGGGGACACCAGTCCACTCCACAAACGCCCATATCGCGTGTCACATGCTGAGCGCCAAGTTATACAGACGGAGGTCGAGAAAATGTTGAGCAAAGACGTCATTGAGCCTTCATCGAGTTCTTGGGCCTCCCCTGTGGTCTTAGTTAAAAAGAAGGACAACACCTGGCGCTTTTGCGTCGACTATCGCCACCTGAATCGGATCACCAAGAAGGACGTTTATCCTTTACCCCGAATCGATGATGCGCTCGACTGCCTCCACGGCGCCAACTATTTCTCGACCCTCGACCTTCGATCCGGATACTGGCAAATTTCGGTCGACGACCGCGACCGCGAGAAGACAGCATTCATCACACCCGACGGCCTTTACCAATTCAAGGTCATGCCTTTTGGGTTGTGCAATGCCCCGGCTACGTTTGAACGTATGATGGACTCTCTTCTTCGCGGTTTCAAATGGTCGACCTGCCTTTGCTATCTGGATGATGTAATAGTTTTCTCGCCCTCCTTCGAAAGCCACCTGTCTCGTCTCTCGGCAATTCTTGACGTTTTTCGTTGCGCTGGTCTCCAACTGAATTCGTCGAAATGTTCATTTGGACGTCGGCAGATTAAACTACTCGGCCACCTTGTTGACGCCACTGGTGTTCAACCCGACCCTGACAAAGTCCGTGCAGTCCGAGAATTCCCGGTTCCGCGTTCCACACAAGAAGTTCGCAGTTTTATTGGGCTCTGCTTATACTTCCAGCCGCTTTGTCTTCAACTTTCGCGGATATTGCTAGGCCCCTCACGGATCTCCTCAAAAAGAATGTGGCCTTCTCTTGGGGAAGGGACCAAGAACATTCCTTCGCGTCGCTAATTACTACCCAGCACCTCCACCAAAAGATGTTACGGGGAAGATTTATTCACCGAGAGCTGGTCTTACTAACGGCTTAAAGAGCGCACAGTCATGCAGGCCAACGGGAGAAGCTCGAGAGTCCAACCCACTACAACCACGTTGTCGTCTTCTTCATTTGGGTGCCAATTCAGCTGTGTCGGGGTGACAGTTTCATACACGTACCAATATCAAGTTCACCCATGCTACTCGACCGACCACCTTTTCCCCTCCTCCTGCGTTTTTTTCATGCTCATTCAAGACGGGTCGTTTCCTTTCTGTTTCGGCATTCGAGGGCAGTTTTAACACGTGGGAAATGTTATCTTGTGCGCCTTCCAGGCGATAGAGATGGGCCGACCCATTTGATCTCTGCTTCAGCGGTGCTTGCGCCCTTTTACTTGCTCGTAAATCAATTTACACTTGTTACGGAACATGACGGCGATGGCAAGAACCCGCCGATGAATGCAGCTTTTTACCGCTAAATAAGTGTTTTGGGCTAGTTCTGCCTGCAGTTCCCCAATTGTTTAATTTGTGCATTTCTTTTCTGTATTTTCTTACCGAACCCACATATAACGAAATCCTCTCTACAACGAATTTTCGCGAGAATTCCAAAATTTCCTTATATCCTGGTTTAACCAAAAAGTTGGTCCTCACTCAGACTCGCTGAAGGAATGTATTTTGCTCTAAGGGCTCACTCCGACTCATACTCACCAATACTTTCTTCAACTGAACTCACATGGACTCAGACTTGCTCAAATTTTCCTCAGCCAGACTCTCTCCGACTCACAACCCAATTTTAGTCTGAGTGAGTCGATTGATGAGTGAATTTGTCAACGGTCGTCGGACAGACGCATTCTGTTACTTCGGTAACACAGGCTCAAAGCTGTCTTCTAAGATATCAATATAGACTGTTTACAATGTTGGCCGCACTGGAGTTCGCCCTACATCATTTCAACTCAGCTAAAAGGTGCATGAAGAACTCACCCGTAAGAAAAGTAGCCAATGTTTGTGGGTCTACTGCCTCCTTAAAGATGCGAATATCAGTGTGTCCCCAGCCATGGTACCTGTAGCACTTTTTTAATCTTGGCCTTCCTGCGGTGTTGAAAAATACAAATATTAATTAAAATGATCATTCTACAGCAACACATAGGCATAACTAAGGACCAAACGCTTGCCACAAACGAATTTACAGTCACACCCATTTATAACGATACCCGTTTCAGTAGTAGTAGTATAACTGTTAGATCAATGAGTACTTGCCACTGTTGACTTTTGTATGTTCTCTATGATTAAATAAATATCCTAGCTTACACTGCATTACCGGTTATAACGATGAAGTCTGGCTGCTGGGTTTCCATGCTGAAAAGTAACGGAATGCAAAATCATTATAAAGGATGAAATGAGAAACTCAAGCGGCTGCCCATTCCCCCATCACCCCAATGGCCACCACCTACAGAAGTAGAGTTGCAATCTTCTGGGTATCTCCAGCAATGTGTGCCTCCCCTATCACTTCTCCAAACATGAACAGGCACTCCACGCCACATCAAGGTGGTACAGTCAAACTTCAATATATCGAACATGGATATATTGAATTATTGCCTATATCGAACGGTTCCTATATCACGCGGGAAATCGCATGCATTATTGATTTTTTATTTCGAACAAAGTTTGATATATAATGGATATATCGAACTCAGCCATTCCAAACCGCCCGCGCTCCATTGACAGGCGGCGAGCTTTCCCGCAACTCTCGAAAGTAGGGGTAGAGCGGCGGGCGTTTACGAATACTGCACACATTGATGGCGCCGAGAGCGCCTCTTTAACGTAGCGGCGTACGCGCGCCACAGCCTTGCGGTAGAGGTTCTTGAATGAGGAAAGTGAAGAGAAAAGCGCGGAGCTGTTATTTTCTTTCAATACGAAGGCACCGACACGGCTTCGCGCGGGGGAAGGAGGAGTGGGAGGTAAAGATTGAGGAGGAAAGTATAGGAGGGAAAGGACGCAGACGACTGTCTCGGACGCGGCCCACGCTGCCGCTGGGAAAGGGAAAGCAGTCAGGCGAGCTGGCGTTGGCGCGTCCATGTGCGCGCTTTACACCCGGACTCACGCCGCAGCCTTGCAGCTTGCAGTCGTTGCAGCCTCTATGGTGTCAACGGCACACTGCGCACTTGTTGCAAGCTCCTCGGCAGGCATCAGTCATTGTGCTCGCAGTGTTCGTGCATTCGGAATTAAGCCTGTGGTGCGCGACAGGCCTAACTCCGAACGGCGGAGCTCACGGATGTGGAGATTGTCGCCGAAGTTACTGCTGAGCAGCCAAATGAAGACACTGCCGAGGTGGATCCCACAAGCGCTGATGTTGCCCCGCTCCCGACATCAGTTGAGGTCGTAGCTGCCTTGGCCCTTGTGCGCCGCCACTGCAGCGCGATTGAAGGCACCGGCCTATCACTTATGGATCGCTAGACTATATTGAGGACGCAGTCGTCAAACACGCCATGGCCAACAAAAAGCTGGCTACTCTTTCAATATTTTAAACCAACACAATAAATACTATGTTTGAATCTTCAAGTGAGTTTTTACTGCACCACGCTTGAATGGTTCGTTGGTTGTTTTCGGCAAGCTGTTGACGCATTTTTTTCGTGATTTTTTTTATATCGAATTCTGGATATATCGAACTATTTCGTGATCGCCGCGCCGTTCGATATATCGAGGTTCGACTGTATTGCATTACAATGTGACAGCAGCCCCTTTCGGTTCCCGGTATACTTCACTGCACATCATTCTGGCATTGCGGCGAAACTGAGTTTTGAAATCTGCTACAGCCGCAAGCGGATCGTGTCAGCTTGAAACAGCGCTGGTTTTAGCTTGCAAGATCATCAACACAATAGTGGCATCAGTTATAAGCACTTTGAGCAAAACAAAAGTCGCAATAACGAGACTTTCAACGAGTTTCACCGAAATTTTGGATGTTCATTGACTTTGGCTTTATGACGCTAGTAGTGGTGCCGTGCTAGATTCCAAATTTTCAAGAATGTCCAAAAAAATCTGCATCTGTGTCATCCCTATCACGGCACGTTCCACCCAATATTATCATTCTCTCACAACAGTGTGCCGTACCCTGCACTGCTTCTTTTTGTGGAAACCGTTTTCAACGATTCTTAGTAACAACAATGAGATTTTCCTTGACACTTCAATACTGTTATATGTGTGTTTGATCGTACTACAGAAGTTTGTTAAAAAAGCACAAAAGCATATTTTCAACTTAGAATAGTCTCTACCACAAATTTTTAGTTAGTAAAAGAAGACAATTTGCATACACGGAGGCTGAGAAACTTATCACATGTTAAGTCTGGCAATAAAGCCAATCTTGAAATATCAACCCTAGTGCGATATTCTTTAGTATTGTGTCATCACGACATAGCACAAACTTAGGAGACACAGTAGAACAGCAACGCTACTGACTACGTATATTGATAATAAAAGGTGGAGAAGAGTGTTGCATCTGTTTATTCTGGATTTGTTTGGATGAGCAATTTGGAATTATTCATCTATGATTTTATGGATGAACAACAATGGCACATATAAAAAAATCATGGCCACCGCCTACTTACTGAAGGGAAACGTGCGAAGTCTGCTCAGTTCCTTGAACAGTGGTACCAGGCTGTGGCTAGATTTCAGTTGCAGGATGTCGGATGCTTCCGTGTCCAACAAATTCATCCAGCGGTACAGAACCACAGTGAAGGGGTCTTGTGCCCAACTGCGATCCAACGCCTGGCTTAACTGCTCCAGCTGCAGAAAAAATACTGAGATCATCAGCTTTACATCAACCATGAAAATGTAAGAACATTGACAACCTTGAAAGTATTTAAAGCATGAATGTTGCGAGTTATACATATTGTCACGGTATCATGACATCGACGAAGAAGCAGAAGGTATGTTGAAGATAAAACTGTTTATTTGGGCGAACCTGTGCCCGGTAAACGAAAAGTTAGATCACAGTAGCAGACTTGTACTGACAGCGGCGTACAAAGTGTCGGCCTGTCGATCAACTGACAAGCGGCGAAGCGTTTCAGCATTTATACCCTCGCCATCGAATATTCTAGTGTTATCGCTGACGGCGACGTAGGTTTCAGGATAATCTATAATGTTCATAAAGTGGGTGTAATCTTAACAAAATAATCTACTGGCATCACGAAGCTTCTCGAACGATGCACTGTAGGCATGGTTTGCGCTGAGAACTACTGACAGTGAAACGCCGCAATAACAAAACTTGAGGACGGAATGTGGCATTACCCTCCTCTGAAAAAGGCGTCACGATGCTTAAGACAAATACAAGAGAAAGATGCATGCAACAAAAATAAGATTAAAAAAAAGTACAACAAAAAATAGGTATAAGCAATAAAGCAAAATTATAAAGAAACAAATAATACAGTCATTATGTTCCTTAACGTGCATGGACAACTTCAGGACATGCACGGCGCCGTTGAGAGTTTGTGATTTTGTCGGGGACAACCTCGTAGTCGAGTGCGCCAAGAGACGTCAAACTACCTTGTACAGTCCGAAGTACCGTCACAGAAGTTTTCCGCTCAGTCCTCGTCAGCGTATCGGCGTCCACAACCAAACGCGCTTGCCGGGCTGGTATTCTACGTAGCTTCGTCAAAGATTGTAACGGCGACTGTCTGATGTCTGCTTATTTTTGATGCACAGGCGGGCGAGTTGTCGAGCTTCTTTGGCGCGCTGTAAATAGACAGTCATGTCGATGTTTTCTTTGTCACTAACGTTGGGGAACATGGCGTCGAGCATTGTGGCTGTGCTCCTTGTGGACACCAGCTTGTACAGAGTACAGCGTCATCTGCGTCCTTTCTTGAACGGCCGTGTTGTGTGCGAAGGTCACGCACGAGAGGTTTGCATCCCACGTCTTGTGCTCAACGTCGACGTACATGGCCACCATGTCGGCGATAGTCTTATTAAGACGCCTGGTGAGGCTATTGGTCTGTGGATGATAGGCGCTGGTCCGGCGGTGACTTGTCTGGCTGTACCGGAGGATTGCCTGAGATAGTTTCGCCGTAAAGGTTGTACCTCTGTCTGTGATGAGGACCTCTGCAGCTCCGTGACACAGGACGATGTTCTCGACTAAGAACTTTGCTACCTCGGTGGCATTGCCTTTGGGCAGAGCCCTTGTCTTGGTGTAGCGGGTAAGGTAGTGAATAGCTACGACAATCTATTTGTTTCCGAAATCGACGTCGGAAATGGCCCCAGTAAGTCCATGCCGATTTGCTGAAAAGATCGGCGGGGTGGCTAAATAGGCTGGAGAAGTCTGGCTGGCCTAGTCGACGGTGCCTTTCTTTGCTGACAGTCTCGACATGTTTTCTCGTAACGAGTGACCTCGACGGCAACTCGAGGCCAGTAGTACTTCTCCTGTATTCTTGCGAGAGTACGGGAAATACCGATGTGTCCAGCCGTCGGGTCATCATGTAGAGCATCCAAAACTTCTGGACATAATGCTGAAGGTACTAAGAGGGAGTAGTTGGCCCGATGTGGTGAAAAGTTTTTCTTGACGAGGATGCCGTTACGCAAGAAAAACGACGCTAGTCCTCGCTTGAATACCTTTGAAACAACGGCAGCTTTGCCCTCTAGAAATTCTACAAGGCCCTTGATTTCAGGGTCAGCATGCTGTCGTTTTGCAAAATCATCGACACTTAAGGTTCCCAGGAAGCAGTCGCAGTCTTCGCTGTCCTGCGGCAGTGGGTCAACGGGGGCGCGAGACAGGCAGTCAGCATCGGAGTGCTTTCGCCCCGACTTGTAAACGACGGTTATGTCGAATTCCTGAAGTTGCTCCACCGTGCGAGGCGACCTGAAGGGTCCTTCAAGTTAGTTAGCCAACAAAGGGCATGGTGGTTGCTCACAACTTTGAAAGGCCTGCCGTAGAGATAAGGACGAAACTTGGAGGTAGCCCAGATGATGGCGAGACACTGCTTTTCTGTTGTGGAATAGTTGACTTCCACCTTAGATAGTGACCAGCTCGCATAACTGATGACCCTTTCAAGTCCGTCAATCTTTTGAACCAGGACGGCTCCGAGCCCTACACTGCTTGCGCCGGTGTAGATTTCAGTGTCAGCGTTTTCGTTGAAATAAGCAAGTATTGGCAGTGTCTGCAGGTATCGTTTTAGTTTTTGAAATGATTTTTCCTGCGGGGTTTCCCCTTTGAAATCGACATCGGTCTTTGTCAGGTTAGTGAGTGGCTCGGCGATGCGGGCGAAATTTTTGACGAAACGCCTGTTATAGGCGCAGAGGCCGAGAAATCAACGCACGGCCTTCTTGTCAGTGGGTGACAGGAATGCAGCAATGGATGTTGTCTTTTGCGGGTCGGGCATACTCCGGACTTGCTTATCACGTGTCCTAAAAACAAGAGTTGCTCGTAGGCAAAGCGGCACTTTTCTGGCTTCAGGGTGAGTCTGGAGGGGAGGTTTTGATTGCTTGAAGTACACAGGGTTTGTACAGATTTACAAAGCGAAAATTCAAGGATATTCAAGGACTTTCCAGGATTTGTTGCAAGTTCTTCAAGGACTCGAAATGGCATGCTAAGCTGAAATTCTTCACTATAAAATTTTCTAAAATGACCAATTTTATAGCACTTACAATATATAGATATCGCAATTATAAAAAAAAATAGTGTAGTTTTAATAACTTCTCGCACCCTCTTCATAGGGAGAGGGCACGATGTCATGTCGGAAAGTTATGCGCTGATGGGCTTCAACGTGTATGTGTAGTCAGGCCTTAAAGAGGTCATGCCACAATATTTGTAGCTTGCGTGTTCTTTGCTGCAAACTTTAGTTATATCTCCAATAAGCACGATACACGTACCAAGATTCAGTGATTCTCGCTATATAATTTGTCACCTTTTTGATATTGACAATTTAAGTTCCTGTTTGTGGGGACCGAGTTGTGCAGGTACGTAGCAGTGTAGCTGACTTAGTCACGTGATCACAAAGCTTTGCACGCGTGATGCTGAGTAGTGTCAGCTCTCGCACACGTGTCCACACAAGCACCTTCAAAACGAGCTTGCCGCTACCTGCAGCAGCCGCGATGCTTTGCCGGTATGTACGGGGCAGAAGTCTAAGTCACTCAGCTGACTACAGATCAAGTGTGACGTTTTTTGCCCTTCCTGTAGAGTTACGTCAGTGTTGAACGTGCTCGCGATGGGCCTCGATTACGAGAATGAGCATTTAGGTACACTTGGGAAGTGACTTAAAATATATTCTTAAACCCACAAGGTGCTTGCTATAGGCTTGAAATTTGATGGCACCACCCCATCAAGAGTGCCGGCTTGTGTACAGCTGACACTCCCAGCCCGTTGCTCAACAACCAAGAAGTAAAAACTGAGACAGTGGTTAATTTGCACTCATCAAGCGGATACATGTGTGCTCTTTTCTAGCACCGTTCTTGATCTGTTTAAGCAGCACGCTTCCAGTGTCAAGCTCTGACAGTCGTTCATCAGCACTCGTCCTGTGCGCTTTCTTTTCGTGCGTCCTTCGTGCTTGCACGGCGCGTTGCATGTATGAGGTTGCTTGCCCTTCTTTGTGTGACATTCTAATTTCTTGCTATCACATTCACTGCTTCACCCTCGCCATGAATTTTTTTGTTTTCACATGCACTTTTTCAAAATGGGATCATGTGCACCCACGCCGCATTACTGTTTCAGAAATGGGGAGTTTGACAGGTTCAAACATCGATGTACCATATTTAGGAGGTGACAATGTTGATATGAGAGTGTACCACTAAGGTAATTCAAGTATTTTCAAGGATGGCAAAAAATTCCAGGACTTTCAAGGGCCTTCAAAGTGCACTTTTCAAATTCAAGGGTTTTCAAGGATTTCAAGGACCTGTACGAACCCCGAGTACAGCTTTAAGGGACTGGAGATGGTTGTCGATGCTTTAGGAAAACACGACGACGTCGTCCAGGTACACGAGGCAAGTCTGCCATTTCAATCCAGCAAGCAGTGCCCATAACAAGCTGGAACATCGCAGGCGCCGAGCAAGGACCATAGGGCATGACCTTGAACTCGAAGAGGCCGTCTGGTGTTATGAACGCAGTCTTTTCTCGGTCTCTCTCTAGTCTACTTCGATCTGCCAATAGCCTATCTTGAGGTCCATTGATAAAAAGTATTTGGCGTTGTGGAGTCGATCAAGGGTGTTGTCTACACGTCCTTCTTCGTTATCTTGTTGAGTCGGCTAACACAACCGGTGACGCCCATGGACTCTTTGAAGACTGGGTAATGTCATCACGGAGCATTTCGTCGACTTGTTTCTTTATGGCCTGGCGTTCTCACATTAAAACTCTGTAGAGGCTCTGACGGAGTGGCCTGGCATTTTCTTGCATTACGATTCGATGTTTCGCGACAGGAGTTTGTCGAATTCTCGATGACGACGAAAAACAGTTCTTGAATTCTAGGAGAACGTTTTTGAGCTGGTCTTGTTTATGCGTCAAAAGGCCTGGATTAACGTCGAAAGTTGGTTGAAGGGTTTCAGTCATTGGAGTAGATTTGGTGAAATCGGTGAGGGCGAAAGCATTGCTGGCTTCCAGTATCTCTTCGATGTAGGCAACCGTCGTGCCTTTGCTCACGCGCTTGTACTCGTTGCTGAAGCTCGTGAGCATCACTCTTGCATTCCCTTCTCGCAGCTCGGCTATTGATCAACAGGTGCTGGTCGCCTTGAACGATGACTTGCATGTCTTTTGATTCTTGAGTGCCGAAGAAAATGCTGACGCTGGAGCGAGGAGGAAGGGTGACTTGGTCGTCCAGCACATTCAAGGTGTGCCTTCCTGACGACATGTGCGGCGGCAGTGCTGTTTCTGTGGATAGTGTTATAGATTTTGTTCTCAGGTCGATGACAGCATGGATGCTTAGGAAGTCCCTACCAAGGATGAGATCTCTCGAGCAATGCTGTAGTACGATGAAGCTTGCGGGGTAAATCTCGCTGTTTATGGTGACTCTGGCTGTACAGATTCCTGACAGCGTAACTAGGTGACCTCCAGCAGTACGAATTTTGGGGCCTTCCCAGGCTGTCCTAACTTTCTTCAACTTCGCAGCGAACGTCCCACTGATGACAGAATAGTCTACTTCGCTGTCAATAAGAGCTGTGACGCTGTGGCTATCGATCAGGACGTCATGGTCGCTACTTTGTCGACTTGCGTTGCAGTTGGGTCGTGGCATCGGATCATCGGCGACGACAATTTGTACCTCTGCTTCGACATTGCGCCGCCAAAAATTCTCCTGGCCGCGAAGTATCGACGTTGGAGCTGCGTTCGGAAGGCGGCACGTTCTTGAGGCTTCGCCGCATTGGCGGCTGCAGCAGCGGATTTTCGGCAGTTCGTCGTACAGCAAACGCACCTCCATCAGTTGCTGCCCTTAGTTTTTCTGATACAGGCTAGGCGACCGGCCCCGTAAATTTATAAAAATCGATTTGTAAACATCGGCATTGCGGTCTTATCTAACACACGACGGTAGGGTTTCCCCACTACAGTAGACAATATGAGCCTCAAAGGGGGTGCGCAAATATTCGTACATCCGAAAATTTCGTGAAATCAAAACAACTAGCAAAATATATTTCTGTGAAAAGAACAAGCGCATGTCTTTTAGGGACACACTTGAACCGACGAGATGACGCAGCTGGCTGCCACGAAAGCGTGGGTCGAAGCTTCGCTTGAGGCCTACCTGAAAACAGTATGCCAAAGTATATAACCAAAGTATGCAGATCAACAGGAACATTACTAGATTCTTTCGAAAAGAACACCAAAACACTTCTAGCTTTATCTACGTCTTTATTGTCTTTAATGTATCACTGCATTAGCCGCGTGCCCTCAATTAGTAGTCGCTATTGGTGATCGCATCGCCATGACTGAGGTTTCGTGCCCGGTGGTTGCAGGAAATGGTAATTCCATTTTCAACCTGCATGCACTGGCAGTGCACGTGCCTTCAGAATCGAGTAGTTTTTTTGCTATGATCGCATCTACAGTAGTTTTGTTCGCAGCATTTGTCGACGGCAATGTCATTTCAGTGGTCAAGCGTTGGACGCACGAACTTTCAGAGTTCCTTCAGTAACTGCCATCGCCATATATGATCGTGTCAAAATCGACCGCGGTTTCATCCACAATTGTTGTGGCAAAGGACATCCAGACGAATCATAGAAGACAGTACGTGGCCGGCTGGTGCCCACTTCCGAAGCTTCTAATATGCTGCTCTCAGCCTTCGTTCAACGGTATCAGTACTAAAGTTCATATGACCGGCCGCAATAAGATAAAGTATTCGGAACATATGAATTTTGGCCCAATAGACATAGTGGGATTTCGGCAGGAAATTGCACGAATTGATATTTGGCGGTTTCTCGCATCATTGAAATTCTATTGTACATTCAGATGAATGTCTCTTGAGTTCGTTTACAATAAAACACGATGGATTCACAAAAAGCCTGCATCGGATTGGGCTGCATTTTTGTCAATGCGGCCAGATCACACACAGGAATTTCGATTTACAGGGTATTTTCTTGACAACCATACAAACCTAAGAACTGATCGAAATCCAGGAGTCTCTCGAAAAATCCGGCAAACTAGGCAGCTATGTATTCTGTTTGCCATGAATGCTTTTCATTCATAAGAGCTGTTTGCCAACAGCTACGTCTTTCGCCAGTTGATATGCCTTACGCTTCGACTGGCTAACGCCTGATCTGACATACGGTTCCAGAGTAAGAAATTAAATTGTGAGTATAGGGTCTTGTGATTAGCAGACAGGATCCTAGAACATGGCCTCTGAGCTGGTCGATAAAACCACGAGTGTTACGCGATCCAAGAGAGCAATCTCCTCAGTGAATTGGTTCTCAGTGCTTTGTGTTCAGATCACCAGCTGCGAGCAACAACAATAGAGTTCTTAGTAAGTCTACATAAGAAGCTTTGACAGCTATGCACAAAGGACAACGTACTAACAAAGACACCAAGGTCTTGTCTAGCACCTGGGCTCCTTGCGTTGTGTTCTAAATATGTGCGAATATGACACAAGCAAGCCGGAGCATCAACACGAAGCATCTTACCCATATCTACCCCGTAGGTTGATTAGCTAAGAAAAGGAATTGCTTTTGCAAACACTATGTGTGCGAGAAAATAAATCATCACCTCTTTTATGGTGAGCCAGGGGCAGCTAAGACAGAAAAAAGGGGCGGAATTCGAGGGGTAGTCGGGAGGCAATCGAAAGTCCAGCACAATGGGCGGCAAATGTTCCAGAGCGATCTCCTGCATTTCATCTGCAAGAAAGTGTAAACTCATATTACCATGAGAAGTTCAAGGAGGTGATGATTTAGGACCAGTGGCTTTGCACAACATGTGCACGTTCCGTCACACACACGAATTCAAGCATGCTATACATATGTAAGGGAAAAATTTCATTACTAATTCAAATTCGAAAGGGCAGGAAAGAATGTCTGAAAGAACCGAACTATCAAAAGTATCAAGAAAGCAAAAACGGCTGTTACATTACTCCACTTTCTTCTTGATGAATAAATAAGTCCCTTACTAATTTTGCATAACAGTGTAAAAGGCAGATATTGTGTAATCATACATCTTCGTTCTCAAAGCAACAACTCTGTTTAATTGGACAGAAACGTGCTTTGAACCCCTCCCTTGTTGTGTACTGCCACATACACAGGACGATAGTTCTTTTGCAGATAAAATGGCCGGCAACTAAGAGTTCATCCACTGCAGTGTAGTAAACGAGCTTTACCATGGCGGAATACTCTTCAGCAACGTCGTTTAAGTTTGAGTTTTATGACGTTATGTGCACACTGCATCAAGTTAAAAGGAAGCTGCTAAATTGTGGATCTGCATGTGAACAAAACTATTGTCAAAACTGGTGAAAATGGTGGTGTGGACACAGCACTTTGTTTTAATTGTCCACGAATGCCATTTTCCTTCTTTTGCGTCGCACATTAGCATAGCTTTGCACAAGGCGCACTGTAAGGATCGGCTGAATCGACTGTGTTGCAGCTGAATGTGACTGAATTAATGATAGTCTAATAACATTACCGTTGCATATGTTGGCCGGGACAAGAAAACACGTCCGAATTATCTGATTTTCCAGCTTGATGGTCGAATTGACAAATTTTCGCTGCATGTGCACGGTGGATGCTTTCAAGCAAAACTTGACAACTTAACATTTTTGAACTTTAAGAAAATCTTGCGTAAACTGACTAAATTTGATCTCTTCCTGAAGTTTTGTCAGTTCTTAAAGAGAGAGATTAAATACGAAATTAGAAAAACTAGTTAACACTACACAGTTTTAAAGTGAAAGTAGTAAACATATCAACATTATTTGTGGTTGATTAGATATATGGTTCCCTCTTATCGCCCAGACAAAACGGGTGTATATAATAAACATAGCGCTGCTTGTTGCCCAGCCTAAATTTAAGTTTGTAGCCTTTTAGTAGCCACGCCCGGTACAAGAACATACCAATGGAACAATTCAGTTCTTAGATCCTGGACATGTCATCATCAATAATGCAAGCAAAGGGCAAATACAACAATGTCATTCTGCCTTGTGAACTGTAGCAGTGGCGGTAAGTAGTCTTACTCAATTGAGGTACACTGACAAACGATGGAAGACAGGGACAATCTGTATTCCCAGATTTCTTGTGTGCATGCATGTTCTAAGCAGTCTAACAGGGTGGCCATTATTAGAGGCCCAACAAGTCTACAGTGGACAGAAGAATACTGAAGATTCACACAGTAAAGAATATCAACAATGGCTTGCAAACCAAATGAGGACTCGGCACTAACTGCTATAAAAGCAACTAACAAACATTCAACTGCACAAGTGATTGAAAACATTTAAAGAGTACTAACATGAATTTTAAATATTCTGAGTTTATTGCTCTAAATAGAAACACTGGTGCCAAGAACCCTAAAAAGGAATCTTGTGCCGATTGGGAACACATTGAATACATTTTTAATGCCACCACGTCAAAAACGCACATTACTTTTGATATCGAAAGGTCAATTTTGCAGTGACAAGAGAACACAAACCTGATGACGTCATGGGAAGATGGCAACTCCTGACACACTAGCAGCAGCTCTGTCATTTGCTGTCACTGACATGTGGTTCATGCAAACCATCGTGAGAAAATTTTTGTCCTACAACTACAACGGTGCTTTCACCAATTTAAACTGCATGCAGAGTTCACAAACCAAGTGAACTGTACTGACTTGTCGTGATAATGCCTCCTGTGGTAAGGGTGGTTTTACAGATCGTGGGCAACAAAAACATAAAGTAGAATATTTCATTGGAGGTCATCTACAAGTGGCGCTAATGCAGCAGTTGCCATACTTGTCTTGCGCGCAAACCTTATCGTCAGAGTGTAACCGAAATTCTCAGCAGCTGTGTTATGTTTATATTTTTCTAATAGAACATGTTAGTGAGGTGCAGCGCAGCCAAACATCAGGCTGTCATATGCTTGATGCACTAAAGGTCCACAAGTATAGCGGTGCACTTGCTAGCACAGTCTGGCACGAAGAGCTCAGTGAGTACCTCCTATACCTGTTGTCTGGCTCCTTTGTGTGGAGAGCATTGATGGAGCATACCATAGAAACGAAAATGGTTTCTTTTGTACTGCCTCAAGGACATGCAAGTCCTCTTTTAAACTTAAATTTGTGCCTAGTCTTCAACACTGCCTACTACATCGTTAGTCTTTGACATGCAATCTCGTTCTATGCCTATATTTTCTGTTTCTCCTTTACTAAAACACAACTAGGATAATATGTTAAGTGATATGGTGTGCCAGCACATCGTTTCATAGGTACGAAACCGTGCGCTTAAATTACGCAGTGTTTATTCTCCCGGCAATCGGGTTCATTGTTCAAAAAATTTCTCCCGGTGGTCGTCTCCCATTGGCTGTCATATGTCACGTACTAACTGCCGTGAGAACAGCAAAAACTGGCTGCTGCGAGACAGACTGGGCATACGTAGCCTAGCGTGCGTTGGATTAGGTTAGGTTAGGCTGCGGGACAGACTGGACAGATGTGGCCCAGCATGCATAGGGTTAGGTTAGGTTACGTTAGGTTATGTTGAATAGGTTAGGCTAAGTTCTACCGTTTGCCGCGAGAATCATACAAAAAGTTTATCCCGGCAGTTAGTCACGTGACTTATGAGAGCCAATGGGAGGCGACTGCCGGGAGAAATTTTTTGATCAATTATCCCGGTTGCCGGGGCAATAGACACACCCCTTAAATTATCGCTGCTCTGTACCATTGTGAAAAATGTAAAAAAGTACGGCGACACTCCTAGCCGTAGTGGACGCACCTGGGGCATTCACTCTCGGCACCAGCACGTGGAAGGGCTTGGGAACTTCGATGCGGGCAAGGAAGTGTCCTTGATGACAGAACCTTTTGTTCCCTCTTCTCACTCCGAAGACCGAGGCATCGTAGATGCTCTCCAGAACTAGCAGCTCGTTCTCTTGCTCCTCCCAGTCTGCCATGCCAGCAACCGTTTCTAATGGACAAGATCAACAAGAAGTAAAATGTACAAATGAACGCAAGCGCAAGTGACGCAGAGGCGATAACACAATCCACTTGTGGCATATCCAGCAAGAGGCGACAGAGAGGAGGGAAGACGATTTAAAGAGACGACGAAGCCGCAAAAAGCGGGACTCACTCTGAATGTTCGCACAAGATGATCATCTGTGATGTGTCCCAGCGTGTATCACCCAAGCCTGTTCGAAAACTCGCGCAGCGAGCAGCACTACACACGCACGCATAGCCGAAACTCGCAGCACATAAAAACCAGAACGTTCACACAAAAGGAAGAGAGGGTCCAGGGTGTTTTACGGGGAAGGCAACGGCGCTGACTACCGGGTATGCAAGGATTAAGCAATCAAGGACAAATAACCAGCAAGCCTGATGGAACGTCTTTTCTTTTCCGACTTTTCTTAGCCGGTGGCCGGCTTTGTGGATTGGATCGACTGTCAGTGGTTATGTGACAAGTTTCTACACTTTTTTTGCCATATATAGCCATATGCATCGTTTTTCTAATGCAGCAATTAAAATGACTTCTTCAGTGTTTTATAAGCCTTGAAATGTTAATGTTAGCAGTGAATGGTGGCAACGCCTCCTAGATTTTTAGTGCCTGCCGAATGAACGCGAAACGCTGGTCATCTTAGGCGGCGCTGCTTACGTAGGAATAAGGGTCTTTGTACTTGGTCTTTAAAATCGGCAGTTTTGGCGTATGCTACTAATTGCAGAGGATGCCTTGTATGAGGGAGACCCGCTCAAGTTTGCCCGCCGACGCCTGCGCTTGCCTTTCCCCTGCCAGAAAAAAAAAGCGCGCAATAGTAGCGTGTAGCGACCCTTCCACTCCCTTTGGCTTCCACGCATTTGCGAAGCGCGCGCTGCACGTGAAACGTCCCTCGCTCCGCTATGTCGCCCAACAGAAAGGGGGGAACTATTGCTGCGTCGTCAACTGTCACAATAGTCATGCAAACACGAAGGGGTCGACTCCACCAGTGAAATTCTACCGATTCCCAAACCGATGGTAAAGCAGATGACAGGAATGAATAATGCAGTGTGCCGAAAAAAGTAAGAAAATATTTTTTAAAATAAAGATTAGCACGCGCACAATGCATTCAAAATAACGGGTGTGAATTCCTGCGTCACCGTTCCTATTATCTATCGACTTACTGGGAGATGCACGTCCCCATCTTAACAGTATAAATTACCATAATACTTTCAACTTCCATCTTTAGAGCAATGTTAAAAAATTGCCAAGAAATATGTTTGCGCTGCTACTATTATTTGATATTGTTGGGAACGTAGTAGTTGAAGCTGTGTGCACATGTGATATTGGTGATGTATGGTTATATATTCTTTATATCTACGCAGCGCCTGACGGAAGTGTGTGGTTGCCAAAAGCTTGGACAATGATTTGTAGCAGACATTTTGTGGGAAAGTGCAAAAATGACTTAAGTCTGCGCCCGTCGTATGTGCCGACAGTGTTTCCAGCGGCTACAATAAACGGGCACCTCACGCAGAAACGGCGCAGAGGTATGATATGCAGTGAAGCGCATAGCTATCTGTATGCATTTTAAAGCATTTTCTGAGGACTCTTGATTTCTGATTTCAAGCTCGCGCGAGAATTCGTTCCGCGTATGCGCAATTATCAAGTAAAGCTAAAATATAAGGGTTTTGATCAAACATGACACTTTCACACCGCCACATTTTAAGGGTAAGATCGGAACGTGGTTAGTAACAAGCAGATTGATTTTTTGATAGTTTTCATAGAAAGTAAAAATGATTCTAGCAACAGACAATGTAAAATATTTAATCAATAAGTTTTCATGCGTAGCTATCTCCGTGAAGTTCTCGTATGAAATGTTTCTGCGCATACAGATGAACACAATTGCTAGTTTTTTTTTTAATGGGGCATTTTGCCATCGTACATGTTTTCATAGAGTTTGATTTCATATGCAGTACTTGTTTTATTTTGAGAATGTAAGGCGTCACTAACAGCATCACGGAAAACCCTTAACGTATACTCATTTTCAGACTTCTTGTACGTTTTATACTTGAAGATGATAAAAAAATATCTGGCACACTACAGATATGCTCAATGTTCATCACCGTACAATATCTGAATAAAAAATCCAACTTATGAACGTTGTTGTGAACGGCACGATCTAATCTCTGCCACAACCTTATTTTGCTTAGGTGGAAGCGTCATTCTGTGAGGGCAGCCAGATCAGCTCAAAATTCCGTGGAGCAGCTGCTGTGCCGCAAGGTATTGCTCATGACGACCCAGCAATGCAATTGCAAGATGAAGAGAACTCTGTTTTCCTCGATGTCTATGACACGCTTTCAACTGATTTAGAATCGCTAGAGACGCCAGCGATGCAATTACATTTGCCGCTGGTGATGCGGAGCTCCCGCTTGAGTGGACACGACTACGAAAAAAAGAAAAAAAATGCATCAGCCGTTGTTGCACGTCCGTTGGCAGATACAGTGAACTAGTTAATTGTTACTGAGTGTGCAGGGGCAGCCCGAACAACACGGTGCATTTTCGATAGTGACCAAGATAAAATGCTTTTATAACAATGTGCTCTTCCCCTGCAGATTAGACACACACAAAAAAGTTTCTCTGAGAGCTGGGCGCTCATCATGATGGTACGCACGCTGTTCGTGAACTCGAAGTACCCACGATGAGAACGGTGATAATGCAAGGAAAAACACGTGAGACAGATGTCAATTTCCGTTGTGGTTCAGAAAGAAGCCCCAAATAGACCACTTATTTTTTAAGTGCTGCGTATATACCACACGATAACTTGGTTGGGTGCTAGTAAATTAAGGAATCACAGCGCAAGAACCACTCAGCCTAAAGCACGAGGCAGTCTTACCCATGCATCCAGTAACATACATAGTGCATAGTACACTCAGCAAACCAAATAAAACAGTTATATAATTATGAACGTACAGAAAGTTGTAGTCACCTCTAACTCCACGTAGTAAACAGCGTCATCTTTCACTTACGAAACCCACTTCGCTCTGACGAGGACGGCGTCGTCTGCTACAGCTTGCTTCGCATGGACTACATGGCTGAGAAGACGCTGCCCTTTTACCAAAATGCTGCCACGAAAAAAACCTCAAATTCCGGCTATCCTATTAAATGCGGACAGAAGCGTATACATCATAACCGCGCGCGACGCGAAACTCTCAAAAACACGTGCAGAACGCGTGCAGCGTGCGAGCAAAGCAACGCGTTCTCAAGGCAGGTTGAAGGAGACAGCGGAGGAGTCAACACTCGAGTAACCAGTTTTCACCCCACATTGACTGACAGGATCACGGAGGAAGGAAAGGACAGGATGGATGGATGGATGTGGCTGTACCCTTAGATCGGGCCGCGGCCTACGTCACCTAGCCGTAATACTTAGTGAACTAACCATTATATATATATTTATCTTTTTTTCCCTTTAAATAGTGAGGTTGAGGATTCGTACTTTGCAGTGAAGGGTTTAATTTTCACTCGTGCCTTGACTTTAGCCACCAATCAGATAACTTCCTTCTAGTTAAGTCCACCCGCTTAAAGTCTATTTTGCCCTCCCTGTCCCTAAACCCCAATGCTTTGAAAAACTCTGCGCCATCATCCTGAACTATAGGGTGAAGCCCTTTACAGAACATTATCAACTGTTCGGCAGTTTCTTCTTCCTCTCCACACGCACTGCATACTGTGTCTACCCCTTCGTATTTGGCCCGATATGTCTTGGTTCGCAATACTCCCGTCTTGGCCTCAAACAGTAGAGAACTACCCCGAGTATTATCATAGATCATTCCCTGCTTAAAAGTTCGATAGATCTCTAGTGCGGACTTCTTAATCATGCCAATTCTCCACATGTCAGTCTCCGTTTCCTTCACTTTCTTCTTAACAGATAGTTATTTTTGGTTTGGCCACCTGCTGTTTTCTAAGTATTTACCAGTCAATTTCCTGGTTCACTTCTTCCATTTTGTATCGACAGTCTTCATGTACAAGTAGCTGAAAACCTTCCTAGCCAACGCTCCTCCCCCATTTCTCTCAATCGTTTCACAACTTTTATCTTGCTGCTAGCTTCCCTGCCCTCAAATGATGTCCGTCCCATATCACCGTGCACTCCCTGATTTGGTGTATTCCCGTGAGCTCCTAAACCAAGCCTACCTATTCCACGTTTCTTAATTTCTAATCTTGCTTGAACTTCTGATCTCATGCACAAGACCGCATTGCCGAACGTCAGCTGCAGGAACCATGACCCCTTTCCATATTCCTCTCACAACATCATACCTATTGTAATTCCACAGTGCCCTATTTTTCATCACTGCTGCATTCCTGTTACCTTTAGTCGTCACGTATATTTCGTGTTCCCTTAGGTACTCGGTCCCATTGCTTATCCATACGCCCAGATATTTGTATTTATCTGTTATCTCTAGCGTGACTTCCTGCATTCTAAGCTCACTACCTTCGTTATCATTAAAAATCATGACTGCTGATTTTTCCTTACTGAATATCTAAAATCTAACCTATCTCCCTCATTACCGCAGATGTCCATCAATCTCTGCAAATCGTCCTTGTTGTCGGCCATTAGCACTACATCATCTGCGTACATTAATGCTGGTAGTGCCTGATCAATGAGTTTTCCTTGTTTGACTAAAAAAAAGGTTGAAGCCAAGTCCACTTCCCTCTAATTTGGACTCTAATCCTTGTAGGTACATCATGAATAACAGGGTGACAGTGGACACCCCTGTCTAAGTCCCCGTTTCACCTCTGTGGGCTTGGATACCTGTTTCTCCCACTTTATAACTACCTTGTTACTTTTGTAGATTTTCTTTAAAAGATTAGTGACTCCATCTTCCACACCCAGTGTGTCTAGTATTTCCCACAAGTCCTCTTGAACCACGCTATTGTACGCTCCCTTGATTTCCGAAAATGCTAGCCACAGGGGCCTGAGTTTCTTTTCTGCTATTTCGATGCACTGCGTCAGGGAGAACAGATTGTCTTCCAACCTTCTGCGTTTCCGAAGAGCGCCAGGTTCTGCAGCGCCTTCCTCGGCGTGGGTCTCCCCTAATAAAAAGTTGCTTGTTGAATGACAGCGTTCCATACGTAGGGTTAATTATAATTACATTTACGCCTTTCTGAAACTTTTTTACGTTATTTATGTTGCATATAATCTCCAAAAACGTAAAAACCCATTTGAAAACACCCCCTACTTGAGTGGCGCCACCACCGTAGTTCCGACGACCACCGCTTCCCAAGTGACCGCCGATAATCCGGCAGGCACGGGAAATCTAGAAGGCGTTGATGGTGGTTCACTTTTCATCAAAATATTGACTCATGCACAAATTTGAATTGCATGTCAAGCAATCAACCCACGTGCGGCTGTAATGGCGGAAGATGCAGCGTTGAGAAACGTAAGTTGTGTTACGAACGTTCAAAGGCGATCTGCTCTCTCAAAGTATTAACCTGCTTGCGTACACAAAGCATAAAACTAACCAGTGAGATCTCGCCTATAGTTTCATGCAGTATTGTTAGGCTCACGCGTAGCAAGCGTGCTCTCTTTTTGCGGTAGCAGACCGCATTTCGCTTGTCCTGTTCGTTTGGGATTTTGTAAAAGTCTGTACGTCTCGTTTCTTTTCGTTTCAGTTTCGGGACTTCCTCTTGATATACAACAGGATGACCGAGATGTGCTTCCGACAGTGTGTGAATAACCTGAATTATCGGGACCTAACGCCTGATGAGGTTGGTTTAAGCTGAAAGATCAGTTGTCAAAAATTGCATCATACTGAAACACGTGCGGATCTTTGAACTGCACAAGGTTGTTCGGCTTTATTTTTTTTCTGGCAGTACTGAACGTAACCCCGCATAGTGGGCCGCGCCAAGTCAAGAGGATCAACCAACCTTACATGGTGGCAGCGTTGCTGGTTAGTGCTAGTTCGTCCTTGCCCACTGGGTGAGGATTCCACGAGAAATTTCCATTCCGTACAACTCAATAAGGGCACATGCAGCTAATGAACCAGGGCTGTTCGTTCATTTGGAGAGTGTCGGAGGATGGCTTGCGCCATGTTCCACTGTCCGGCAAGCCTCGAATGACGTTTTAAAATACAAGCGCCAAGTTTAGTGTGCTGATTCATGATAACGCCATGTATGATGTTCGAATGGGCAGTTCGCCAACGTTATGGAAGGCAGTTACCTTGCAGAAGCGTCTCTCAGCAATAAAGTAGCATGAACTAAATATGAATCAAATAAAATGTGAAATGATCAATATCTCTAGCCTGACTACCCAAGCTTGTGATACTGTGGAAACAAATTTCCACTACACAAAGAAATTATGCGCGAGTTTGGCTAGAAAAAACTGCAGAGTCTAGCAGTAGCGTAGCCAGGGGTAAGGTGGGAGGGGGGGGTGCGACCCCCGTACTAGTTTTCCAATTATACATTCGAATATCAATAGCTTGCACGTGAAGTTATTGACACAGCTTCATAATGTACTAGTTAACTAATATGGAGGCTTCGATTATGCAAAAGCAATACAATCACATTGTGTATAACTTGATTCGACGTGATAACCGTGCGGCCTCACTGTTATTGGCCCTTGTGTGTTGATGACAAAACAAGTTGGAAGTGATGCAGTAATAAAATCTTAATTTCGAGAGACTAGGGTAACATTAATGCAATGTCGCAAACCCCCCCCGAGTCCTGCTTTGCTGTCCACCGACATGGCGGTTTTGGCGATTCCAGTGCGAGCCAACTATAGGAATTGACCACAAACATATGTAAAGTATAGTTGAACCCGCCAGAAAAAAATTTCTGGCTATGCTGGCTATACTACTGCATTCTAATGTCAATGCAGGGTGCATATGATGTGACATCATAGTGATAAAGAAAGCAGTGATTACAGAATTGACCCACCAAGTGGACTCTTTCAGACATGGTAACATTGGTGAGCGTGTGGTGATGCTGCTTATGTCACGTGCTATTTTATCGACTCTCACTGGCATTGTTACATGCACAAATCCAAACTAACATAAACACCTAAAACCATCAATGCATGTGCATCAGTGGTGGGAAATACAGATGTTTGCTGCTTGTGAATGATGGGAAACAAGACAGTCAAGCCATCCAAAAATCGTTTCCAATTTCCTGTAGCGGTTTCTCAAGAAATGTGTCCGAACTGGTGAATCAGGGCAAGTGTCTTGGTTGAACACTGATAAATGTGCATATCTACGATGGTTGGTTGCATAGCAAGCACCAGAGTGGGAATGGGTAGTCTCTGTCAGGCATCACAATTTTGCTTTCCACATGCAGTGCTTAAAAGTTTTACATTGATAGAGAGAAAAGGAGAAAGATTAAGCAAATGATAAGCATGCTCTTGCTTGGCAAACATTTTCAGTGAAGTAAAGACTATATTTTGTGGCAGCCACTAAAGAGTGAGAACCTGAGGTAGAACTTGTGCATAGCCCACTCCTAAACACGAGGCTAAACCCTGAGTGAAGGCATTGTGGGCATAGAACTTTGCATCTAAGGACAAGGTTGAGGTTCTCGGCTTGCAGCAACCACATCCTGGTGAAGGTGAAATGCATAAGTGTTTCTGTACCAAACATTGGATCCATATAAATGGACTCTAAGTGGCCAATTCATGCACAGCCTGTAATTAGCCTTCCTTTGTAGCTCTGAAGCTACTTGGGATATTAAATTCCATCAGCTGACCAATCACTTTTATCGTATTTTACACTGAGCAAATTGAAATATCAATGAGCAATGCTGGTATCCATTTCTCATTGGCCGGCTCTCCCGATTTTTAATTTTGTTGGATTGCACAGATTCGGTGCATCAAATATGGTGACTTAAGCAACCGGTAAAACAGAATTACAGGTGACATTATGATGACGGCGGTAATATTTGCCTCTATTTCAGAGCCAGTGTGTGGATTACTGTGCCGGCAAAACGATAAATGTCAACCACAGAATGATGTCTGTCTACATGGAAGTCCAGCCAGAAATGATGAAGCGCTCCATAGAAGCACAGCAACAGCTAAACGCACAGCAAAGTGTACAAAGCCCGAGTTAGCATTGCTTACTGTTAATTTGCAGGGAACAACAGCCATAGCTGAAACAGTCTGTGGAACAGTGCTCAATGTAATAGTATTAATTTAATGTGAAGTTCTGTACATTATATGGCGTCACCCAAAGGGGCCATATCGATGTTGGCATTATTGTTGGTTGTATTTGAGCTGTTTGTTGTGGCATCTCAATAAATGTCAAAGAATCTTGATTCATTGCTGTTTTTCTAACAGTGTTATCTATTATTCTCGCGCTTGAAAGTTTTGGGGCCTTCTAGTATACATTATACCCCTGTCACACGGCACATATAATGTCATTTACAGCAAATGTCGGCTGTCACGCGGGGAAACCAATGCCATTTGACGAAAATGATATTTTTTGTCGAATGAGTTCCCAAAATGCATTCGATTTCGGACCGAATTAGTAGTCTCGACGCCAGGGACTTAGAGGGAGATGACTGTTAACTTATGTATATGTAACTTTTAACATTTGTAAATATCTTGTTCTTTACTAGATCAACTCATTACTGGTTTGATGACAATAGCACGCACGAGTGTTTCTGAAAAATAAGCTACTCGGCTACAGCGGCTGGATGTCGATTGTGTTCAATTTTTGCTCTGTTGTCGTTGCCTGTGTCGCAGATGTTGATCGTTCGATTGCACGTGTTGTGGGGACCAAAGTGGTAACTACACAAAATCGCTGCTGGCATCTCATTTCCACAGTCGGGAAGTCAGTCGTGCGTCCCGTTTCAGCTGACTGTACTCTCGCCCGGTCGCGCATATCTTCGGCCTTGTTGGTCTTCGAGTGTGTCGTGCAGCTGTGGCAAGTTGTGTGAAACGGCTGCGTTAATATTCTAGAAGCACCTTTTTACCCATAAAAATTATTTCTGTGGATACATGTATGTTGCATGCAAGTTTTAGTGTATTTTTATTTCTCACAAATCCACAGCTTAGGAGGGCTGAGGTCTTGGTCATCATTTCAAAATGACATTTATTTTCATTGTGTGACAGCACCCACGTAATATGACTATAGGCATTCATTGTAAATAGCATTAGATTTGCCATGTGACAGGGGTATTAGTGTCTCATTGTACAGACAATTTTATCATGCTAATGTTGTTGGTAAAGACAGGAGCAAAATGGCTAAAATTAAATACGGAGTAGTTTTTGAAGCAGAAGCAGCTTAATTTGGAGCTGTTACCTGCATTTGATATGTCGTCTTGGAGCTTGAAAAACAACTTTGTAGCAACTTGGGAGGTAACAAAGACAAATCAGCTGAGCATATGCATAAAACTGAAACAACGATTGGAGAAAGTTTTTCAAACAGATTATTGCCGGGTATGAATTACACTACTTTTTTTCCAAGTCGTGCAACCTATCACGACTAACAACATATGAAATGACTCAAAAATGTTCAGCAAGCTAGGTTAACCTCACAAAACATCTGAAAAAAAAAAAATGTCACGCTTCTAAAAATTAAACGACTGTCTGCACAAGAATTTTAGATATATAGCAGTAGATCTCAAGATCAATGATACGATTTTGCAGATAACCGCTTTGGCTTTCTCTAGGTCTGCTTATTCGGCTTCACAACCTTCTTTCCTGTACATCAGTGGGGCATCTAACGGGATAACATCACAAAAATGCCTTCAGCCATCTGCTCGGCCGTGTGGTTGGTGTAGCGTCAAGTGTACCGCACACTTTTAACATGCCAAGACAAAAGGGTGCTGCACCACGGTTCGCTGCCAGCTCGTGCAGGATCACCTTCAAGAATGCAGCGCAGGCACCAAGACACTTCGCTGTACTGACACTATCTTGTCAAAAGCGCGTGCATGGTGCTGCAAGCGTAGCGCCGTTGTAAGCGTAGTGCATGGTTTCATTAGGAAACGGCGCAAATGCGCTAGAATCGGTCTGTCCGCTGCTCCCTTCTAGTGCAATACCGCTAGGTCATCTCAAAGACTAGTTGCATGCACGAATCTAGTTGACACAACAAGGTACTCGCTTCGCCCTTGCACAGTATGGGAGGCAACGGCACGAAAACTCGCACATTGTACTTGCACCTTCGTTCACACAAAAACAGCTACAACCCAAAGATACATAAGAGCTTCATGGGAACCTCTAAGGTGCTAGACCTCACAGCTCGTAGAAGCAGCACACACTGGGCACAGCAAAACATTTAAGGGGGTCACGCATACTTGCAAGAACCCAGATGGCAGAACCATGGAAGCCTTTATCAGAAAAATGCTTAGAAGAAACACACATAGGTGCATCCAAGTGTTCTGCGAACGGCTGTGCGAATGACTCATTTTCTTTGTATGCCTGATGCTACTGGTACAGTGGGGGATATGTGAGCCAGCGGAAAGAATTTCCCGCTCACACGGTTGAGCTGAACGGAGACGTAGAAATACCAACGCTGCTTTGCCCTCATGATTTGTTGCCCACAATACTTCATGCTTTTGTTGCTACAGATTCGGACCGAACAGAAACGTTATTCTTCGTGAAATCATCAACAGCAGCTTTTTGTTCCCTAACGTTTCGAATCGGTCAACTTTTGTCTTAATTAGTGAGGCTTCAGTCATATCATCTATAAATAGGTGTGTCGCCATTGTGTTAAAGAGGTGCAGTTATAATAGGTTTTTTGTCTTTTTCCACAAGAAAGTTAGAGATGTCACCTCAGCCCTTGACAGAGATCTTCATGAGCCTTTTATAAAGATCAGCTATCAATGCAGCCAAAAAAAAATGAAACTCTTGTTCTGTGTGCGTAGAGTGCATATTGAGGCTTCAATCCTGCTTCCAGTGGCTTATTAAATAATTTTTTAAAAGTATAAGCACAACGTGTGAAGCTCTTGCGTACATAAGTCGACACTCAGATAGGCACCAAGTTTGTGCTCAATGCAGACAATTCTATATCTCATCATAGCCCCAAATTTTTTTCCCATTATAGCGCTATGATTATTAGCTGGAACTTTTGCATGAGAACTATTCCATAATGGTCTAGCTGCAAATACAAATAAGGACACAAAGAAACTGATGGACAGCATGTGTGCAGTTGTATAGCGCACTTAAACTACGACAGAATGAGTGACAACCAACTAGCCCAACTTGCTCTTCTGCAATACAAAAACTATGTAGTCGGCGAGAGAAAGCGACGCAGCACCAAATATTTATAGTAGGATACAACTATGGAATTCTGTGGCATTTCCCGCTCAAAGGTGGATGTATACACGCCTGCCCCAATAGGTGCGCACTCCGGACTGACGTCATGAGCCAGGTTTGGAGAACATTGCCTAGTCCACGAGCAGGAATTTTTCTTTAGTTGCGATCGGCTGACATGCTTCGGTCATCTGGGTGAGCCTTTTGCGAAATTATTAAGTGGTAGCCAACTATAGAAAAAAAGTCATCAGAGCGTATTGTTTACTGCTTACATGTCTTATACCTTTTTTTTTTCTTTTTGCTGAGACGTCATTTTAGGAAAATGGGCAGTATCACAATGCTCGTCAAAATCACCACATTCGGGACAAAAAGAGTTAACGTGAGCGACCAGTATATATGGGCCATAGTAATGGTAGCGCTCCGACATCTACTCGAAAATCACCTCCCACACAATGCCGCGGACTTAGTGTCCCACAAGCACGCATGTTCTTCTTATATGAACAAAGATAACATGACTCATGCCTGTGTCAGCGAAATCATTATAACACGAAAGAGAAAATGTCTTTACAGGGGCAGCTGAGTGTTTATTCTCCACTGTTTCATCACAAGGGCAAAGAAATGAATCCTACGGCAACAAATTATAATATAATGCGAAGAATAGCATGCAGCTCGGAACTTGCAGCACGCTCCACAAGCAGAAAGGATGCACGAAAAGAACAAACACAAGATGAACACGGATTAACAACTGTCACAGCTCAACACTTAAGGTGTTGTGCTCAAACACAACAAAGTATGCACAAAACAAATGCACAAGTAGACACGGGACGCGTGCGAACTAACAAATGTCACAATAGTTAGTTATTTGTGTTTGAGCGGCGTGCTTCATTCGCAAATGCGGCCGCAGCAGCATGCGAAGTGCGCTTCGGTTCTCTGCAATTTCAACGCAAGCTTGCAGTGAAAGCACACACCTCCTGGCAGCATGCTCATTGCGATATTTATTTATACGTACTAGTTAGTGAAATGATCAATATATCAGACAAACATTCATTACAGAACACTCTCCAGATGGCAACCTGCCATTTGTGATGTATAGCCAAAAGTTCCAAAGGGCCTCATAAGGTCTCCTTTAAAGCAATACCCCAAGAATAAAATTTCTAGTGCTTGATACCCAGTCAGCAAAGATGGCGTGAGCCATAAATCTGCACTGCAAATGAACATGACCAAAGTCATGTTGACACTATGTGAAGTTGCAATGGTATAAACAGAAGAATGACCACTTCAAATATCATTTGTCTATGACAGTAGTCGTATGTGAAAAATAGAAGAAAAAAAAGGTTGCAGTAGAATACCGAAAACATTTTTATTCCTGACTTTCCACGGTAGTCACAATTCACTAACAGAATTAGCTTGAGATGACTACAAAATGTCTCTAGGCTGGACAGTACCAAAATACTAATTATAATTCCTTAACCTCACTTTATTCAACTCAAATTATAGTTCCAATTCCTGTGCAGCACCTTCCTGATTTCTTGAGTTGCAAACTTTCTTTTTGAGTATGTTGCTGGCTCGAGCAGCTGTTGTTCTTGAACCTGTAAGGGCGGCACCTTGCGGAAGACACCGTCGCGACCCAGGTGGGTGCCTGTGGTCACCTCTGTGGGTTCACCGTCTGGAAATGTGATGGGGGTAACTTTCACTAAATGCTTCACTTGCCACAGCATCTTGCACATGAACGGTGTGTTCTTCACTATGGTTCGGCTGCCAACCTGCACGGTAGGACAAGCGCAACACATTGTTTAAGTTCCGCTGCATGGGACTTGTCTATTCCATGACTGAACAATCGACAACAACTACATCTAACCAGTTCAATGCTAAATAAAAGGCTCTGTAGCACTGACATGATATTCTCTACTTCCCGTTTCTTTTGTTGCTTTAGACTCTAAATAAAGTTGTGCTGGTGGCCTAATAGATAGCTTGTGGCAGTGTTCATGTAAAAGTCGCCAAGCCTGTGTAGAACACGCGGCACTGTCACAGAGAAAGCTGGAACAGCTTTGTTTTCGGAGCCCGTTGTAGACTTCCCTGGGGCAACTAATGTAACTACTCATGCAAGGTGCCCACTACGCCATAAACCACCGTAACTCTAAGGAATAAGGAAGCACCCAATATACTACTATTCATTATTCTTTGAATACACAAGGTACCCGTTACGCTAGCCCACTTTTTCGTGTTGTGAGTGACAAGGAAGAATTATGGCTTAATCTTTTATAATGCGTTAGAAGCATTCAACGGCCCATTTGTCGTGCAATTCACATTGTATGGTGCCTGGTTGTTGTTTTTACTCTTCCATAATACTATATTACATATGTTTACCATCTTCTTTACCTGACATGAAACCCACATAGGGTGTTTTTGTGAAGGAATTTCAAGAACCAGCATAGCTCTGAGGCAGAATACTTGACTACCATGCAGATTCTGTTCATTCCTAAAATTTTTTATAATTACCTTTTTGTCTTATTTCTCACGATAGCGTAGAGCCTACAGACACCAATGTTAAAGGCTGCGTGTAACCACACCGCCTAAATCGGTGCCATCGACTATCAAGAGTCACCAGAGCTGTGGCCAAGAGCACAGAGTGGCTGATCACCAATGGCTAAGTAGGTAGGTAGTGGGTGGCAACAAAGAATTACAGCCACCACCAGTGGTGTCTATTGCCCAAGTTTGCTACATTCCTTGGTCTTGAAAAGAGAGGTTGAGGGCACGGAGCCTTACCTATTGTTAGAGGTACTCATGCTTGATGATTGATAATGATAGAGTAGCCCCCGCTTTTAATTTTTTTTTGTCTTGTCTCATTCTTTTTTCTGATTTTTCACGCGATAGCGGTTACGGACATCGGCAGCAGCGGGAGAAAACTACCCACTGCCACTGCCAATGTGATCTGAAAACAGCTTTCACTGCAAGATAAGGATGAAACAGACACGAGGATAGAAATAGATATAAGCGTTTATGTCTATGTCAGCCTTTATGTGTCTGTCTCGTTCTTGTTCTTGATGCACGCTGCCATAAACAAGCTCTCAATCATACAGAGCAGCCCACATAACTAAGTGTTACAGCATTGCTTCTGTAATTTTCAATTTAGGTTTGAGTTCCTGGAAGTAGATGTATAATGACGTCATGTACTACATTGATATTCTTTGTTTCTGCAAACAATGCAGATGTCACACACATGCCACATTTCTTTTTATAGAATTTTTTTTAATAATCAATGACATAAGCCATTATTTTTTAGCTGCACACTGCTGATCTGACACCAGGCACTTAGCCCCCTGGCTTGCGTAACTTTTGACAGCTCATAAGGCTATATTTGAAACTATAATTATGATGCAGACTAGTTATTCCTTATGCAACTTCAGGTGTGCACTTCAGAGAATGTGTGTGATAGTCGAGTTGGTAAGAACGTTGCTTACACAATATGAATAATACTCGCACACTTCTTGGAGCTCGGCGCTAAACCGAGTGTGCCATGCAACTCACCGGCCTAGAGATATGGGCCTTGCGATCTTCCTTGGACGGCGCTAGTTTGAGCAGCTGGAGGATGTTTTTCTCCCAGTGTGGTGCACCATAGTAGGGCATTACACGCTCCACCAGGAACAGCTTGGGCACTTCCCAGTCTCCTGTGGCTGCCTTTTGCCTTGTCTCGCGCACTTCCTTGAAGATTGCCGCAACCGTCCGTTCATAGCCATTCATGAAACGCACTTGTGCCTTGGACTGGCTGTCACTAGTGGTGCTGGTGCTGCTATTGCTACTGTTACTGCTGCTGCTGCTAGCTGCTGTTCGAGCTACTGAAGACACCTGCGAAAGAGGTGCACAAGAAAACATTTTTCTGGTTGGCACATTTCCTGTTACACAATGTTCAACATAGCCCCGCCGTGGTGGTCTAGTGGCTAAGGTACTCGGCTGCGGACCCGCAGGTCGCGGGATCGAATCCCGGCTGTGGCGGCTGCATTTCCGATGGAGGCGAAAATGTTGTAGGCCAGTGTGCTCAGATTTGGGTGCACGTTGAAAAACCCCAGGTGGTCGAAATTTCCGGAGCCCTCCACTACAGGGTCTCTCATAATCATATGGTGGTTTTGGGACGTTAAACCCCACAAATCAATCAATCAATCGATGTTCAACATAGAAAACACACCTCTTTTTAATTCCATGCAAAGATGCAATAAAACACTCATGCTAATGTTACTTAAACTGATTAAAATCATTCCGTGAAACACTGTTACTTTGAATTTAGACCGAAAATAGCCAAATTAAATTTTCTGTGGGCTGCTCTAGCCAGCGCATTTTGATTCCTCCGTATATATTAACTTGGTACTGCTTGCACTGCCCGACGGGATTCGTTTTGCCACGTACTAGAATACTGCAATGCACCGAGATAATCGCAGGTCACACAAGGCAGTGTGAGAAAAGGTAAAATACAAAAGGTAAAAGAGGTAAAGGCAAAATGAGCCTGCCCTTGGTCATTCATGCCAGTAACACACAGATGAGTTTCACTCATCGATGGCACGGAGGGGCATATTGCAATCACCCCTAGTAACGTTCACCATAGAGGTATTTCACACATACTGTTGGATCACATTTCTCTAGAGTGGCCAGCCAGCCACTTAAGCCATATTTCTTTTTTCGAAGATATGCATAAACCGATGCCCAATGATATCAGCACTAAGTCATACTGAATGCTATGTCCTTAGCTGTAATGCAAGCATGAACTAAAGCTTGCAGCTAACTCATGGCAGTAGCTGGCAACAGATATCACCAGCAGCCACAGCTGTCCGCTTCACCATGCTAGAGAAGTCCGATTCAGATTGCACTACTAAAGAAACTTGAACTGAACACTGACAAAAAAAGGCATGGTTTGAACAACACAAGTAGGGAACAAGAATGGATCAAACAGGAAAAAACAAACACTTCATTCTGTCTCATCCATCCTTGTTCTTTGTTCACACAGTTCAATTTTCTGTATGGTCTATCAAAAAGCTAATGCATATTATTTTGATAAAAAGACACACAGACCAGGTGCAAACAACAAAAGATTAATGTATCACTGTTCATGCAAACACGCTTGCTTTGCATGTATGGACAGTGTCACTGCGGATGGCAAAAGGCAGGCTCAAAGTACAGACGGGTTTCCTCAGTGATACACTTGCATACAGAGTATGTTTTCAAAAGCTTGTTTCAAGCCAGAAGTAAAATTCTCTCTTCGGGAATGTCATTGTAATTATTATTTATTTTTGCGCTCCCTGACAAAAATGCTGGCTGCAGCAATATCACAGGAAGTTAGGATATGGTCTTAGATTATGTAAAAGACCGAATGCATCTTTTTTAATTGACTTACACTGATACCCTCAAATTGTTTAAACGTGGCATACTTAGCGCAATGGAAGCAACTAATGCTTTTCGTATCTTAAACAATGAGTCTACAGTTGCGGGCGGCTGAGTAAAACAATTGCTGATTAATTTCAGTGTACACCATCAAATAACTTCATTAACTTTTTGCATGAACGTACTCCTTATAGCCAGGATCTTGGGCACTTCTAGACGTAAGTGAATGCATTTCAAGGAGAAAATCCAGGAAAAAGGCGTGTCATCTCACCAAAATTTTGAGGAATTACTGTGCTACGCGACAGCGCGTAGCACAGTTTTAAACAGATTTGTGCTGCACTTCAGCCGGAAAATATTCCAATACCGGGTACAAAACTATTAATGCAACACCGGGAGCAATCAATATCGCATCCTTCCAGACACACCATGCAGCATCAACTGGCGTTGGTTTCAAGCAAACGCAGTAACCGATATTAAAGGTCTGCGCATTCGTAGGCTACATCCCTACAAGACTGCATCACACAACTCTGGGGCGAATGGTCACGCCTCACAAAACTACGCCGAAGCTCGTAACCTTGAATCGCTGTTGGTCACTCGCTAGATTGGACCATAGCAATAGTCCGGAATGATCCATGCTGTATACCAAACTACGTGCAAATGTGTGAGAGATAACATTTTCAGGTAGGAACTGTGGGGTTCTCACCCGTGATGCGCAGAGCAACGCTGGACGGAAGAGCGCAACACTCATCATCTTGCAGGCACAGCTGATTAGCGTCAAAGTAAACAGTCTAGGCCACGTCTACACCGTCTATCATCACCATTTACTCTTGAGAGAACGAATGTTAGCTTGATGTAGTTTAAGTGTTCTGTGAAACTAGCTTGATGTAGTTACAATCGGCCTCGCGGCTTGTTCAGCACGCCGACGAGACGAGCAGACATGCCAGCGCAGTGTTAGTTGCCTGCGTTGCTGAAGTCGCTGGAAAGAGCGTCATTGGCGAAAGTGTCGGCTAAAAACACCGTATGACCTTTCTTTTTTTTAATATTTAGGTCATTAATGTCAGTCGCGTATTCTCTAAGAGGTATTAAGTCACCCATTTATACACTTGTTGTTTAGTGTTTATCAGTGTTGCTCGCATTCAAACTCTATGTTCAAAAATAAAGAAAACACAAAGAAATAGCAATATTTTTGTTTGTTATGCTTTGCGCTTTTTATTCTCTTTTTTCTTTAGGTTTTTGCGCTATCTAGTGATCAAAGCGGCAAACATCGCGTGGCTTTTGCCTCGCCCTTGCTCCCCTTCCCGCTCGCCCACCTCCCGTGTTTCTTCTACACTTCGCGTTGTTGTCAATCCACGGCGCGCTTAAAAAAAAGAGTTTTTGTTTTCACGTTTGCAGTGCTGCCGCTGCCCGGCAGAGCTATGAAGATTCGCTTACGTCGCGCCTAGCATCCAGAGGAATCTCCTGAACATGGCCAAAAACAGGATGGTTACGAAACACTGCCCCAAATGCGAACAACAGGTCAGCATTTCTCAGGGGTGCATGCACGGCAACCGACCAGTACCCATCCTACTTTGCACTTCTCCCCAAATGCACCCGCCCTTTCTCTCTCTAATGTTGCACGGGCTCTGCTGTAATGTCTGGCTTTTTTAGTTGCCTCGGGCATGCACAAAACGCTAGTGGCCGTGGCTACGTGCGTTAATTGCGCTGATTTTCTCGTTGTGTAATATCATTCGGCTCCGTCGCCGTAGTGTCTTTTATCTTGCGATATTGGAGTTGCATTCCTGATCTGTTGCATGCGCTGTGTGTTAAATGTGTATGACTGCGTAGCTACTCTGTATTTTTCAAGTGTGTTTGGTAGTCTGTTTCGGCATGCACACTTTTGAATGCCGCATTATGAAACGTTTCGCATTCCTTACCGCAGCTGTTGGCACAACTCGGGCTGCTTCGTGCCTTATCTCGGGTTATACATTGGGCATGATGACGGGTGTGAACGCTTCGTAAACCCACCCTGATCTGGTGCTGGAGAGAAAGAAACAAGCTATCTGGAACGAGCGAATCGAGCGCCGGAAATTTCGGGTCAGCATAAGTATTGGCGTCCGTGCTCGTCCATCTTGTGCCAAATTATCAGCTACGCCACCCTCCTCCCCCGCATGATGTCATGCGAAGGCTGCGTAGCTTTGCGTGAATTCGGACTGGCGTTTGAGACTGACAATTGGCTAAGTGCAGTGTTGTGCAGTCGAGCTAGCTTTTCTGAAGAGCTGCTCTGTCACCAATAAGAGCCCTTCCAGCGATCACAGTTTTAGTTTTCTCAAAAGGCAGAGGCGCTTGTCAGAAAGAAATGCACGGAATTCGTCGCTTGGTACGCGGAAATTTGCACTTGATTTCAGTGGTCGCCGACCACCGTCAGGGTTTCGCAATCGGCTGGGTTTGTGTGGGAAGAATACATTGCACCTTTCAGCCGGAAACAATACAGGTGAAGGATTACTACGTGAACCTTTCTCGAAAAAAAGAAAAAAAACGTAGGGGGGGGGGGGGGAGTACAGTGGCAGTGCTACGTAGCACTTTCCTGCTGAAAAGTTTTCCCGTAAATTTTTTTTCTTGTTCATTTCTTACGATTCCCTTGGCACCAAGTTTGGGCTTTTGGCAAGAATATGTAGTGATTGCACGAGAGCTTTGAAAAACGGCTCTGACGTTTAGCGAAAAATGCGGGGCTCTGCTCAGAACGTGATGATTGAAGTACTCTTAAACATCGCGAATAACAAGAGGTTTATTTTCTTGTGTGTGTGTATGTTCTTTTTATTTCTTTGTAAAAGACATTTGTTTCTCGATTTACGATTGGTGTAAGTGTTGATTTTTTAATGTTATTCTTATTGTATGACGTGCGAATAAATACCGGGCCTCGCTGTGCCCTTTATTTCACGTTCAACTTAAAAAAAAAAATTAAATTGCGTGATAAGACATAGCACCTGCTTTTTTAAAAATATTTTTCTTATGTAATGGCGAAAAAAGAATTACATTGTATTTTATTCCTCTCTCTTCTCGAGCGACAAATGATTTCACACGCAAGCAACCTCTATCGTGTGCATAACACCTTTAGAGTTTTAGAGATCTGCCCACTGTTCTAAAACTAAATATATATATATATATATATATATATATATATATATATATATATATATATATATATATATATATATAGAAAGGAAAGAAGTGTATACTTAAGGGCTCGTTTTTCTATGTTTGACCCAATATTAATGAGATCTAACTGGCAATAATGCGAAGGAAAGTATAGAGGAAGTAGTTAGACAGAATTGTAACGTGAATGTGAAAAAAAGTGGGTTAAAAATACATGAACTATATATATATATATATATATAAACTTCGAAAGTAGTGCAACATAGGAAATAAAACAATTGTTTAGTTTATTCTAACAGCTGAAACTTATAGGATAAAATAAATAATTGTTTGTTTCTTATGTTGCACTACTCCAGAAGTCAATGATTTTTATTATGGTAACTAGAAGAAGCTCTGTTCATATATACAGGTCGTCCCAATTATCACGCAGCACAATTTGAAAAAAGATGAACGGCGTTACGCGAAGCAAAGCTGGTCCATATATCTCCCAGTGTACTGTAGTAGCCGCTACTAATAGTTTTGCTAATGACTATTAATTAGCCACAATCATGTTCGTAACTCGAAAAGTACTCACCTAATAATCAAAATATCAATGAGGCGAATGTGCGCATGTTGAAACGACATCTGTCCGTGCTACGTACAACAACGTACTAATTGCACTGCTCATTTTTACCTGGTGATAAAGAAAGCCCGCGAAATACGAAAGATAACACGTGACTAGACCGCTGCGCGCATCAGAAAGAAGCGTCCTCAAACAAGCTCACTTTGAGATAGCCAGTAGCAATGCAAGGAAATGTACAAAGAATTAAAAAAAAAGACGGAATCGCGCTATTTTCCACTTTCCGGCCGAAGAAACGCGCCGCCTTGATCTTACACACAGTAAGGCTGTAATCGCTCTGATCAGAACAGTGATCCGGCCGCGAACAGTTGACCGTGAGTTGTGAATGGAGATAGCTACGCACAATCAAGCCGAAGGAAACCGTGCACATGTTGTAGGCCCGTGTGCTCAGATTTGTGTGCACGTTATGAAGAACCCTAGGTGGTCTAAATTTCCGGAGCCCTCCACTACGGCGTCTCTCATAATCATATGTGTTTTGGGACGTTAAACCCTACATATCAATCAATCAAACCGTGCAAAGCAGCAACTTGTGTTCATGGCACCCGACTCGTACCCTTACCAATGTGAAAAACGCTGCCTCACGCAACGGAAAAGAGTCAACGCGGTTGCTTCCAGAAAGATTAGGGAGGCTTAGAATACCGTTTGCAAGCGCTTCGGGCGTTGCGGGCGCCATATATCGTGTTTTAGAATAGCGTTTGCCCTGCTGCGATCCGCAACGCATGATCGCAGCGACACCATAGCCTTGAAACCAGCGCTTGCGGGTCACATGCGGGCCGCACACGCCGCACGCAATTTCGGATTTTCTGCGGGTGGACCGCGAACGCGTACGGCGGCTCGCGTTACGACGCATGCGCAGTGGCAGCCACCGCATCGCAAGGGCTCGCGGTGCGCTATGCTAAAACTCCCTATTATTTGAGAGCGCTGCTTATATTTGTGGGCGTGAATGCAGTCACGTATTATTCATATTTCACGCTCTTTCTTTATTCGCAGAAAGAAAAAAAAATATCGCGTAATTTATACATTGTTGGAAGTAGCACAGACAAAAGCACTTCACGTGCTTTTGCGCCGCGGGGCAAATGTGAGGCGGCATTACGTCGGGCAACCAACCCTCACAGACTAAACTATGCGCGAGGCCTCTCCCTTCGGTTTTTTTTTTTTCCTTCGTTGTCCTAAATGCGTAGCAGTGAATCTTAATGAACAAAAGTCACTTAGTATATAATCTATCGTACGTCCGTCTGTCCGTCTCTACGGAGCCCCGCCGCGGTTGTCTAGTGGCTAAAGTACTCGGCTGCTGACACGCAGGTCGCGGGTTCGAATCCCGGCTGCATTTCCGATGCAGGCGGAAATGTTGTAGGCCCTTGTGCTCAGATTTGGGTGCACGTTAAAGAACACCAGGTGGTCGAAATTTCCGGAGCCCTCCACTACGGTGTCTCTCATAATCATATGGTGGTTTTGGGACGTTAAACCCCACAATCAATCAAATAAATCAATCGGTCTCTACGGCTTTCTACCTTCGTGGCCGCTTCGTTAACGGGATATATAGCAAAATTTTGCATAGCATGACAGTTAGCATTAGACAAACATAAAAGGCACGCCATAACATGAAACCCGTAACACGCATGTCAGGTAAGGAAATCGCTTGGCTTTAGTTGATGTAAGTACTAAAGGGTGTTTCAGCTAAAAAAACATCAAGCAATAAAAAATTTAAAATAAGTGCTACGCGTCTTTAGCTAGCGATGTATTGTTCTTAGCTGTATGTAGCACGCCAGAATATTTTTTGTCCGCCAAGCAATGGTAATTAACAAAGATTAGTTAATGAACTTTTAAATACTGACTCTAGAGAAAAAAAAATTCAATACAAGACTTGTAGCTCTTATCCAGGAATAACAAAATTTTCAATGTTACGGTAAGATAACAACGCTAATTAATTTTTTCCTAGAGTTTGTTTAAAGTGCGCGAAATTTAAAAAAAATACCACGTGATTGCCGCCTAACGCGCGGCGCTTTGAGTGCCCTCAAATGTAAGTTGAACGAATTACCGAAGGCTTCTCAGACACGAAGGTCGCTTGAACAGGCTATCGGCGACTACGATGGACATTAAGCGATGGTTGGATGGTACCACTATAACAAGGAGGGGGGGGGGGCGACAGAAAGAAACGAATACAATAAACTTCGATGAAAAAAGCGGCTGCCGCGTGCATTGCGTTACGAGACCGGAGGCAGCATTCGACGCAGCGCAGACTTTCTTCTTTTTTTTTGGGGGGGGGGGGGGGCAACGACAGCGATTTATTTTCGGGTCCTCACCCCCCACGATCATGCTTATCGTTGGCCCGAAAATAAATCGATCAAAATGAGACGCGTAGCACTAATTTTTTATTCCTTGGTGCTTTTTAGCTGAAGCACCCTGTATGCTGTACAGCAGAAATAAGCCATTGACGTTGTTCAAATGAGCTTTTCTTTTATTCATGAGTGGGCAGGGGACTTCAGGTAGTTCGTAACACTGTCCCGTGCACGTCTCCGCCCTGTATGAGCTGAAGTTCTCGCTTAATTTCACTGCGATGAATTGGTAATGCTTCACCGTATCGCATTGTTGTTTCACGGTGCAGCCTTCACGAAGGTTCAACCTTAGAGCGTCATGGAGAGAGCGGGATTAAGTTGAGCCTCTGTTTCCCACTTCGCCCTTCTCATTCGTCGAGCGTATAGTGACGTCGAACTACTAAGTTCTGCACGAAAGCCAACTTTTCCGGCACGAAAGGCCACATTTT